CATCAACGCTGACAAGCGCTTGTGGGTGAAGCTCTCAGACGAAGCCAGGTCAAACTTGGTCGCTCCAGCAGTGGGCCCGAAGCCTTTTGACGTAGCTTTTGAGCAGTTGGTCAATCATCCAGAAGTGCTCATGCATTGGACAGCTTTGCCATCATATCCAAGCGCACAAGACCGTGCCCAAAACGATGCTGATCGCGCAGGGTTCGAAAAAGGGAAGGACAAAGCAATACTGGCTCCACTTCTCGTTGCCCTTTTTGCTCTCCATCCCGATTTTGACCATCATGGTGCAAGCTGATATGTGGATGGTTGGCGTTAAGAGCTGCTGAAAAAGTTTGAAGGCTGCTGCAAAAGGCTGGTGAATGATATTGGCATGGAGGTTGCCATTGGAAGAAAGAATCAAAACGAGAAAGCTCGGCACGACAACCCGACAACGACAACGACATCGACAGTAACAACCACAACGACATCGACAGTAACAACAACAACAACAACAACAACACAAATAACCAGTGGCGCCACCCAAACGTCGCTGCTTGAGGGCGTTTGAACTCGCTTCCTCCCCATGACTTGGCACCCCGGACCACAAGCTGAACCTCGCGTCTCACATCCTGTAACTGGTGCCGAGTGACGGAACACATCCCGTGGGTGGTCACACACGCAGGATTTTTGGTGCTTGCACCTTGTATATGTATGTATATGTGATATACAGTAGTATAGAAGTGCCGAGAACCTGGAATCTTGCAAAACTTATATCATGTGGCTGTGAAACGAAAACATATGCAAAAGTTATATACTGGGTTGCTTGCAGGGAAGTTGAGTAGATGACTTTGGACACATATGGATCTTTGGGGATCTTTGGGGATCTTTGGGGCTTGGCTTTGTTCACAGGTTGGTCGGTCTCTCCTGGTCGATCTGCTCATCTGGGAAGTCCGCCACCTCACAGCGGAGCAAAATTAGCCAAGAAAGCCAGCAAGCCATCGAGCGGTCCTCGCGGGTCCCGCCTCCTCCCAGGGAAAATGCAAATACCATAGCAACCAATGCTGTGCCACAGATTGGACTTCAGTCTCTGCTGTCCTGCCGTCATTCTGCAGTCTTTCATCATCTTTCCTCTCTCATCCAACAAAGCTACACAGATTCACTTTAGAGTCACAAACGCCTTGTGGGGAGCTGATAAGGGTAGCGGTTGGCCGCGAAGACTGGCGCAGGTCGAGGCTTGGCACCCTCCGACCAGCCGCTGAAGTCCGCCTCACCGACGGCGACCGCGGCCACGACCCGGACCGCGACGGCCACGGCAACGACGGCCTCGAGCCAGTTGCCCCGCACCACTTGGCCCTCCAGGTCCCGATATTCGGGGATTTCCACTTCCTCAGTCAGAGTTGCTGCAAACAGTATTTCTTTGGGTACAGCCACTTGGCGGACAAGTCATCAAGATCGACAATGTATACAAGTATATGTTTTGATTGCAAAATCATGTATTTAAAAATCCAGCAAAGCACCACTCCCCGCCAAGCATCGGCGCTCACAGGCCTCATGGGAATACCAAAAAGAGTGTCGCACAGGTAGTCATACATCCTGGGACAGCAGCGTTTGCATGATTTCCATTCTACTCTGTGGCCTCCCTGAACAGCATCGGCTACAAAAATGCGCCAGTTCTTGATCGTTGAGATCGTGGAGAAGGGTTTCTTGTTTCGATGCATCTATAATCATAGTGAAAGCTGCAGTACGGCGATGGCACGTGATTGGACCGATCGTCCTGACTCTCGGCGCACTCTCTTCACTCGCCTGGGCCAGGCGAAACTGCATAGTTCAAACTGATTGAACAAGGTTTTCAAGACGGGGTTGAACAGTGGATGTAACATGGTTTAAATCTATTTATTAAAAACACAAACACATATATATATATATATATTAAGGATTATTAAGGGTGATGCTGGCTTGCTATGCATAACTCGAACGCATAGCCTCCCAGTGGCCTATGAAATCCTATGAAATCCTATGAAATCAATGGTCTCAAAATGTGTCAAGCACGAAGGGTCAAGCCAAGTCTTCTACACAGGTGGACAAGGATTAAAGGACCAAAGCTGGAGTTTCGTTTTCTAGGATACCAGGGTGGCCACAATCCTGAGACAAGACCACCCACTGCCCCATACTGCCCCATCCAACCTCTTGTTGGCGATAGGAGAGCCTGCAGTTGGAGATGCAGACCAGCTCGTCCCAGTTCATGTTGTTCGGGTGAAGTACGTGAGCTCATACATGAGCTGCTCATGGGTTGTTCCAAGTTTCACATGTGACATGTGTTTGTTGGGGTGTTGTGATCTTTGCACCCCTGTACACCAAACAGGCTGATTTGCCGCAAGGCGGCAGGATCTGCAAGCGATCCTTCTTCTTCTGCTCCATCGCCTCAAGGGCACTCAAAAACACCAGTTAACAACTAAAATTACTATTCAAAGTTAAATGTGATTACTGGACCAGGACTATATTATATACTGGTTATACTACGTTTGTTATACTGGTGAAGCAGTCGAAGTCGACTCTAAGCCGGGAAAGACGGAGTCTACAGAGCCTCCCGCGCCTCGGGAACCGGCCGGGTGTCAAAGCCCCCAATCGTCCAGCCGACGGCATTCTGCAAGGCCTCCGCGACGGGCCACGGCCGAAAGGTCGGAGCGATGCGTCGACACTCGTCGACAGGGCGAGACACTCCACGGACCTGGCAAGATCAAAGAGTCTCCTTATGCCAAAACCCTGTCTTGATAACTTGCATTTCAAGAAGGTTTGAATCCAACATACCAAGAAAACCACCGGCCGAAATCGTATCTTTCATGACATGCGCGTTTCAGGCGCGACAAGGTCGACCATCGCCTGGAGGTATCCCCGTTCGGGATTCACCGGGCAGCCACGAACGCTCTCAGGAGACGTCAAGACCTCACTGGTTCGCGGTGTTTCGGCAGTTCCATGCTGTGAGCAGCTGAACGTCCTTCCTTTGGAGTGACCCCAATCCTTGGATACTATATATTGTTTCTACTAGCTTCTTGTTGTTACTAGTAAGGCACTTGTTACTAGTAGCGATGCACTTGTTCCTAGTAGCTTCTTGTTACTAGAAATTAACAGAAATCCCCTTTTCAGAAAGTATTGAAACTCTTTGGAGAATTTGATGGTGTCTTTCATTGTCTTTCAACACGTGTCACATCCGCTTAGAGTCATGACCTGTCGCCTTCATCTTGCACATCACTCTGATCTGTGTGTTCTATTGTTTAAGGGCTACCAGCGGGCTTTCAGATGTTGCCCAGAACCGGGATCAAACAAGGGAAGCGGTAGACACCAGCGCTAGACTCCGTCTCGGCTTGGATGGAGGTCACCAGCAGGGCACCCCAAGGACATTTGGAAGGTCTCCTCTGCTTGGCTCGCTCCGAGCCTATTCGGGTGTCCGAGTGGGTCATCTTCGAGATGGGTCCAAACAGTTCAATTGATTTCCCTGGTGGTTTCTGTTCAAAGGGTCTTTTTCTTGGGCGATAGTACTTTCCATCTCCCCCCCTGCACAATGGACCAAGGCCCAAGAAAAAACACAAGCTACCCAAGTTGTGGGTCACCGCCTTCATACCCAATACCACTGTGTATCAAGGGGTGCATGGGGAGCTCCATGATCTGTTGCGCGAGTGGTGGGACACCAAAATGTGGGTTGTTTCACACCCCAAGATCCCCAAGATCCACCTCGACGCCATCTCAAATGATTCACGTCGAGTGGTCCTGTTTGGCGCTTCACATGTCCCGCCTCCACAAAGCGATGCAGTTCAGGCTTCGCTGCCGCCTCGAAGGTCAGTGCAATGGCCTGGAGGCGATAATGAAACGCGAGCGTGGCAGTCATCTTTGAGTGGAGAGACAATATGGGACAATGGTTCTGTTGTTTTCCTGCTACACTGGCCCACACGGAGGTGTTCAAAAACCGTTAGAAACCCTATGAATGGCATTACAAGAAAGCCAGTTTTTTCAAGCAGCCACTGGTGATGATCTTCACCTCTCTCCGGCCTCTGGGTCATCCTTCGTCAGCTTGCCCACTGGAGAGAGGACATCGGTCATCTCGAGCCCAATCCCATCGTTGAACCGCTGCACCGTCCAAGGCCCAAGGCAAGTCGTGGACAACTGGGTCCCAAGGAACGGTTGATGGACTTGTTACTACTAGCTTCTTGTTTGCTACTAGCTTCTTGTTACTACTAGTAAGGCACCTGTTACTAGTAGCGTGGCACTTGTTACTACTAGTAAGGGACAACTGGGTCCCAACGAACGGTTGATGGAACGGTTGAGTAAAGGGCCTTGTTACGTTCGTAGCGTCCTCTTGCTCCGTTCGTAGCGATGCCCGAAATGCTCCGTTCGTAGCATCCTTGTTATATAGGAATGTATAGGAGTATAATCACGAGAACATGCCAACCATCCTGATTGGGAACATGTATCATGTAGAGAACATGGGCCGTATAGCCAGAGGAATGGAATGGAAGAGTGTTGACCAGCCAGCATGTCCGACCCAGCTGTGATGGTTGTTGCTTCAAGTTGCTTCGCATAGCTATGTCAACCTGAGTCCTTCTCTGCTGTTCTGTAGAAGAAAGCCTTGGTGCTTCATTGGGCTTGCTCATCGTTCCATGAGTCTTCGCAGGTACTGGCGGACCAGAGAAGCATTTGCTTGAGCAAAAAGTCCAAGACAGGTGACCTGGTGCTGCAAAATGATCCGACTGACCACTGTCATCCAGCTGTCCAAGCATGTCAAAGGATCGTAACGAACGAACGAAATCAAGCGAAGAGTCCATTTGCGGGGGCTCTTCCACCGGCAATCTTTGGCTGCCCAAATCTGTGTTTGTCATGTCTCAAACTGGCGTGATCCTCCAAAAACAGAGGCAAGTCAAAATGGACAATTAATGAACATAGACCGTCAAACTATGTGGAAGCCATTCGGGCAGGGGGGGTTTTAAGGGGGCTTTCACTCCGCCCAGCCGCACGCTGTACCGCCGCACCTTGAAGTCCCTCGGAGTCAACAAGTGTTCACAATCGTACAACCTCAGCACAACTCCCTCAACGCCCTGCTGGGCTGGCATAGGAGGGTCTGGCATCACTGCGAGAGTGAACATGTAATACTTAATCTTCACGTTGATATGCCCAAAATTATCCAAAGCATGAAGCTTAAACCTCTGGTTGGATTTCGAGGAAGGCATGTCACTACGAAAGCTCCATAGGCCCATGAGTGTGGCATCTTTCGGAGCCGCACATTTGTTGCCAAGCCCGGATGTCTTGGAATTCATCCAGCATGTCCTGATGGCCAGGACATGTCTTTGCCAGGTCTCTACTGCCCTGATCACGTCTCTACGAACCGAACTGCATCGATCCACCAGGTTTGGTGGGATCATTTCAGCCAAAGCCATCGACACAAGAATGTTCGTTCGAGTTCCGTGCCATCCCAAAGGAACCCATCCTACAAATCAACAGCTCAGCGGCGTTTCCGTTTGCTGATGCGGTTCATCAAACAAACAAGCAAGCAAGTCTCCCTGTGTTCATGGAACCCTTACATTCACGCCTACACCACTTCTTCGTCTTCGTCTTCGTCTTCGAAATCGCGGCGCCCGACCGGCGGAGCCGCCTTCAGCGTGGAGCCTCGGAACTGCTCCAGCTGCTGCTCGATGTCCACCAACTCCGTGGCATTGGTCGGCCTGAGAAACCGGAAGGTCCGAAAAGGACGTCTCCGTCAGCGACGTCTCTGAACGGAGCAGGGCGGTGTTTCTGGTGTTTGGAGTATTTTTTGGGGGGTAAGGTTTGCAAGTGTGTGGAAGAGGTGTGTGTGTGTGTGTGTTCGAGGTCTTGGGGTCGGAAACACACCAAAAGAATGAACTCTGGCGATTCGGAAACAGAACGAACAAATACGACTGGAGACAAATCCAAAAGGTCCCTCATTGTTGGAAACAAACACATGGACTGGTATGGAATCTGCAAGCACTTGACACGACTGACTGGGCTGCATGCTTTTTCGCCACTGCTGTGACCTGCTGTCGTGTGAGGGGGGTCAGCACGATGTGAGCAGCAAATAGTGAGATGACAATCCAAACCAATACTCACAACTGCCAGCTCTCCTTCTTTTTTTCAGTCATTCAGCCGGCCAATCACTAGCTGGGTTCCACATAGTTCCACAGGTGTGCAGAACGCCACAAACCGCTGTGGAGTGGAGGTTGAATTCTGCCCACTTCTGTTGCGCTGCAACTGAGAAGGGCCTTTGTTGGTCCAAAAAGGGGAAAACTTGCGGGATTAGTTTCAAGGACATGGGCTGCGGTCAATCAAAAGGTGCCTGCAAATTTCTATGAGCAGCACCGCCGGCCATTTCCAAGATGTCCGTTCAGAGCCATGAACATTGAGCAGGTTGACCGCACCAATGTGTCCTTACGGTACCATGCATCACCTTCAATGCACTGGTCTTAGATCCAGCGACAAAACCTTGCTCTTGTGGCTTACCGGCTGGATCGAAAGCGAAAATCATCGAAAATCTAGGCACGCTGCAAAGCGCCTTCCTTTGAAGATGTCTCAGACTGGGAATTCCCCCAAGCAACGAGTTTGAGGTCGCCTACCCACGGGTGTTTCTCGCCCCTCATTCTGAGACAGTTCCATTGAGCCCAAGAGGGCTCTAACCCCAGACCCACGCAGCCATGGCAGCCGTTTGGGACTAGCACATGCAGCCGTCACAGCCGCAGGACACATCGATACCTCACAGCGCGTACGGGTGTGCAGCTCCGGGCCGTCTCGACGTCACGTGTCAGGCGTCTCAGGCCGACAAACACTGCAAATGCAGGGAGCACCCTCATGTCTCTCTGAGTATAGACGCTACTAGGAGCAAAGGGCATCGCTACTAGGAGCAAGGACGCTACTAGGGGCTCCTGGCATCACTACTGGGAGCAAGAAGCTACTAATGTCCAGTTACGTGTATATCCATCACTGGTGCAGGTCTGCAGCAGCCGGCGACCGGGGACCATGAGGTCTGCTTGCACATTGTCCTTAAAAGCACCAGAAGGCTTCCGGCCTCAATGAAGCCGATAGGCGCATCAAATTAGAACTCAGAAAACAAATTGAAAACAGCCAATTGATGAGTGTAGCAGCGAGGTAGATGTTCATGTCTATGCTACAGCCTTTTGTGGAATGAGAAGGGCCACATTGAGCACCCCACAAGGGCCACATTGTCTTCACACATCTCATGACGCATTTAGTCCAGGCATCAGTCCATCATGCGTGTGAGGCAGTAGCCCAGACCGGCGCTGGGATCTTCAGAACGGCACTTCTGGTCACCTCAGAGGCAACCGACGGGGTGGAGTTTCAACCCGTTTTGGTACGTTCAAGTGGCTAGACTGACCCTCCTTAGGGTCCTGGATGCTATGACGATTACTTGTTTAAGAAATACTTATATTACAATAAGTATCAATAAGTGTTTAGAATTATTGTAAGTTTTCTGTACTTGAAAAGTACCAAGAGACCCTGCTGACCGAAAACCGGCGAAAACCCTTCTGGGATCCCCCACGGTTGGGAAAGCCCTTGGGCCGCTGGGAGCTGCTGGCCGTGAAGCTGTGTGGATCATCTTGACGCTGCAGCTGGGTCAGTTGCACCAGCTGTTCCGGGCAGCGCCTTGGTCAGCGGGGAAAGGGCGGGTCGCCCCGGTAATGGCGAATGGAGTGGTTGGTTGGATTTGGTTGGTGATAGATCTGGATAGATCGTTTAGAGGGTGCAACCGGCGCCGTTCTTCGTGGCGACCGAAAGAGATCGAATTAGGAATTGGCTGGCTGGCCCAACAGGTTGGCATATTGCATTGATTGAGCAGTACTTCTGAGAAACTGGTCTATATGGAGGTTGCTTAGTTTGTACAATTCATGACTGTCTGTAGGATTCTGCAGGTATGTCTGGCGCCGGATGTGTGGATACGCGGCAAGTCCAACACCTCGTGCCAATCCCATCCTGACACTGTCAAGCTGCACTCGGGACACGTCCAAGATGGTGGGATTGTATTTGCACTTGCCGGCTGGGAGACCAGCGCCAGAAAGCCTCACCTTCCTCAGTGCGCCGTGATCAGTGCGCCGCGAGTTTGCATGAGTTCCGGGCCAAGCACTTCTCGTTCAGGGTTGAACACGGCTGAGTGTTCGAGCAGGTTAAACGACAAAGGCATGCTGCAGCGTGCAGCTTTAATTTACAAACTCCCTCTTTGCTCTGTTCTGATTCTCGTGATTTTAACCTCCAAAGTCATCAGCATCAAACGAGGATCGACCTCCGTGCGACCTTCAACGCCAAGATGCTTCTGCCAGCTATACTGGCACATCTTCACCAGTGAATCCCCCGCTGCTCGCATGGCATGACCATTGCGAGGCTCCGCAGGGAGTGCAGCACAGGCCTCGTCGGAATCCACTCCACCATAGGTGCAGCCCCAGGCGCTTTTGCCTCCAATCGGATGGTCAAAACGATCGGAAAAAAAAGGCGTTCCCAGTCGAAGCACCCCGTTCTGGCGGATAAATTGATAACATTGGTTTACCAAACGCCTTCCGTGTGGGAATAATGGACACCACCGACATACCTGCGCGTCGTTCCCAGTGGACCCCCTACCAAACCGACCTACAAATCGATCCTTTAAGATCCTTTTAAGCCTTTCTAAATCGCTCGACTGCCACACCGCCTCCAGAGAACATGCTCCCGGCCGAGCCCGCACAAACGTTGAAGGCTCCAGCCCCACCCGCCGCAATTTGCAGGTCGAACTGGTTTCCATCGACATCCCACCCTGGCAGCATCATGGATATCCAAGGTTTGCAAGATGTCGTAAGCATCGATGAAAACAGCACCATCCAGGAAACTGCTGGGTAACTGCAACCTACTCTGCAATCTCAAAAAATTGACTGTTCAAAAGTGTTTTGACTGGAAAGGAAGGCTCTTTTGAAGAACGGGGACATGTTTCTGACTCAAGGGCCCATGATTCGCACCAACATGGTTCATCTGCTCGTCTGAAATTCATCGATGCCTGACAAGATCTCCCGGATACCAAGAAACATTGGCCTGTGTTGATGGATTGGGCTATGATGTCCTTGTCAACACCTTCAACCTGTGCAGACGACATTGCGTGCTTTTCATGCCCTCAGACGCTGGACTCGCAGGCCGAATTCATATGTGTATATATATATACTATACATTCATTCGGTACCACAGTACCTACTCCTCACATAGACTTTCACTGGCTCCGAGGCTCCACATCTACGTCGTTGGCGCGAAACCGAAAGCAATGAATGTCTTTATCCAGTCTTTTTCCCCGAAAGATCTGCCTTCAATCTGTAGCAAGCTCCCAGTCCACGCTGCCGGTCTCCAGAAATGCCATAGGTGCCCACACCGAAGTAAACCTGAAACGAAAAGATACAAAAAAGGTCTCGAAGAAGAGCCCCACATTGTTGCCGTTTTCTAGGACACTGTGTTTGCAATGCACCAAAGCATGTTTTCAAATGGCTTCAATGGATCACGATTATGATTATGATTATGATTATGATTGACCTGGCCAAGAATTGCGACAGCTTCAGGCATTTTCTCTTCAGTCAGTATGTATTCTGCATACTCGAGGATATCCCTTGCAACACTTGTATCTTGGGAAGCTTGTACAAGGGCTGTACTACAGGCTGCAAGATGAGAGATCTTCTATTACAGCGCCATCTGGAAACACACCACCGTCAGCATACAAGGCAGATCCTTGCCTAACTTGAGCCAGGGACTTCCCGTCCATTGCTGGCACGATCAAGCAATGCACACCTAGAACCCTAATATGAACCCATGAATCCCACTGTTCAGAATCTTGGCCATTTAGTAGAAACACAGGACGTGGTTGCCAAGGGGCATCCTGGCCAGACTCACCCCTGAAGCTTGCTTCAGCTGATCGCATCGCTGAACTTCCGAACGTCCAATCCTCGGTCGACGATGCATCATCGCGAATGGTCCAAAAAGCTTGCGCGATGTTCTGCGGTCCTTGGGCTGGCGAAAACGACCATCAGCGTGGGCCGGGTCTTCACCGTCGTCACCCAAAAGGAGTCTATATTGCATGTTTGGAGCATTCACTCACCCGAAAGCTGTGTTGCTACGGGATCATCCCTTATCGAAAGTTGCATTAACCTCGGCACCCAGCCAATCCGTTTCCCTCAACCAGGCATCCATGCAGGCATAGGTCGCAGTCACTCCGCCACCTCGAAAAGCTCCAGGCTCTGCAGGGCAGAAGTAGCCCACACCACCTGAACAAGGAAAGGGTGATGTGATGTGTACCTGGAAACCCAAACAACCAGAAACACTCCAGAAACAAATGGATGCTTCCCCAAACCAACACTTGCTGGTATGTAAAGGATCTCAACTGCCAATATTGGATCAACCGTTTGTTTCTGGTTGTTTGGGTTTCCAGGTGGGAGATATTATTAATTTAATGAACTTGACTCCAGATGAAAGGCTTCGATTTCTTCGGTGGCCAGGATCGCGGAAATGGACATTTCCTGACTGATGCCGAACAGCTGCATGTCCAATATATGTCAGCTCTGATAGATCCCCCTATCTTCAAGTCAAAGAGTGCGGTTAATGCAAACCCGAGCTTTGACTGTCGAATGTCGAACCCAAAAGACTTCAAAGGAGAGTATATTTATATATAGAATTTAGTCAACTGATTCATGAATCCGCGAGCCAGTTCGTGTCCTACGAAGGCGACTTTTCTAAACAGCTTGTCTCGGGCAATTCACCAGCTTTCTCAGCCACTAGCAGTGAATGATGGATGATGAGGGGGCAGGTCCAAGGAAACGCCGGTTGTGGTGCTTTTGCGGTGTTTCTGCGCAAAACCGGCGTCGTTCGGTTCCGTTCGGTTGTTTGCGCAAACCTTGCGACGAGCAGCTCGAACCTTTGCACATGACTCCCGGCCGCGCACCGGGATTGAAGCATCGTGAGCAGCTCGAGCAGCCTGTCACCGAAACTACTCGATCAAAAATACTCAGGTCTCAAGGGCAGCAGCCGTCCTGTGAGCAATCTTCATGTTCAACCCTGCAGCAGATTCGCCTCTCTCATCCAGATTTGCACAAAACGGACATGTGAAGTTCGCAGGGATCAACCAATTCACGTGCAAAAGTTCTAACTGTTTCACTCGGAGATCTGCTCCAACGACCGCAGCCCCGCCATAGCGACTGCAGCTGGCGGAGCTCCCCTCAGCCAAGCTGCGATTCGAAGAGGCCAGCGAGTCCTGTGCATTTCGAAGAGACTTCGCATGGCTCCACAGATGAGGTTGACCACCAGATTCAGGAAGTGTTCTAGACCCCGCCATTGGTGATTTTCTTGGGCCACCCAACTGTTGGAGGTCAAACCTTTTGAGTGGTGAAGTGTCCGTTTCCTCAGTTCTCAACTGATGGCCAAAATTACTCTTGCACACCACCCAATGGTTTATGTACTCACCATCCCTTGATCAATGGCTAAGATGGTTCTTTGCTTACCTGAGGTTGGTAACCCCCCCTCCACCCTCGCTGGACTGGAGCCTGCCTCACACACTGCCAGCCAAGCAAAGTAGGCCAGCAGCAAAGCTCTGTTGTGGGCCATGGCCATGACACGAAGCAGTTGGATGCGACGTTCGCTTGAGCCGAAGCTAACAGCTGGAAAGGGACATCTGAGGCACCTGTCAATCTGCGCTGTCACTTCCAAACGTCGAAAAGCAAACCCCCAGAAATGAAGTATGAACATGCCCCCCATCATGGAGATTGTGCTAATCGATATTGAAGACAGCTGAGAACCGAGTCAAAGACTATGGAGTCAAAGCCCTTGCACAACCTTGGTATCCATGGATCTTGAAAGAAACTGTAAAATAATGTAAAATATCTACAGTACAGTGAGGAACGGTCCTGACCAAGGGTTCTTGCCTTGTGCTTAGTTGTAATTTTGCTCCGCTCTTCTTTGCAGCCAGTGACTTTGCTCTCTTCGCTTTTCCCGTCCAATTCAAATTCTGTCTAAGTCCTTCCAGCCAAGTGATACACCTCTTCCCGTTTTGGCCAAGAAGCCGTTCATTCCGCTCCAAGTTCATCTGCGCAACATGCTCCAAGAGGAGAGACATGCAGGTGGCAGCATGGCTCCGGAGGGTCTCATTCAGCTCGCGGCAATCCTAGGCCACCAACAGCATCTATCAGAAGAGGGTCGGCAGGCCGGAAGCCCCAACCGTGTTCAATATGTTCAACATGCGATTCCTTCCAGAAAAAGTTTAACCCTTTGGGGAAACAACGCTACTTTGAAGATCGTTAAAGTGATTGTTTGGGTTCAAAGCGCAGGGGGGGTCCTGGTACAGTACAGAAGAAGGGGAACTGTGCTTGTTACCATCTCCAAAGTGATCAGAAGTTATGACAAATCACTATTTTGGTCCCATCCTCTCCCGCAAATCATGCATGATCATCCGACAGAACCACGGTTTTTACTGGTAATTTGGCAGTTCCAGGCGTTGTCCTGTTCTCTTTCTTCAACATTGCCAAGCTGCGACCGTCACCATCTGCATTCGCATCTCTCCTGGAAGTTCCCGCCTCAGCACGTGGCAGCATGGACCAGGAAGTCTCCAATGACTCCCAAGCACAGAGATTGGACATGTGGGTGCGTTAGATCCTACAACTCCACCAAAACATTGACCAGCTGGAGATGGCGGATCTACCCATCCAACAGCCGACAGCGGCGCCAGCACTCTTTCTTCCTCTTTTGCATCTCAACGTTGAGAGCTCTGGCTTCCCAGCAAGCTCTTTTTCGCGGAATCGCCCTTGAAGCATGCGAAGACGGCTCCGATGCGTTGTCCTAAGCTCTTCTTCTTTTTCTTCCCAGTGCTCGGTGGAGCTGGCGCTTGCGCAGGAGCAGACGAGGACGCTGCAGACGCTGCTCCAAAGGCAGAAAATGGAGTTTCCCTGGTGTGTGGCTTCTGCCGGACAAAAGCGGTCTTGCAATCATGTTCTTCTGGGAAGCGATGTCGCAGGCAAACCGTCTGGCGGCAGTCCTTGCATTCGAACTTGTTGGAAGGGCCGAGCTTTTCCTTACATCCAGGTACAGGGCAACGCGGAGGCCCCGTCTTCGACGGGAGGCTTCGCGTGCAACTCTGCCGAAAGTGCCGGTCCCAGGTGACATTCGGATCCTCATCCGCCCGCAGTCGAACTGCTGCTTCACACATGGGGCAAAGAATCACCTGCACTGAGTTCTGATCAGCCTTTACACAATTGTGACTGGTGTAGGAGAAGTGTTCCTGGCAAAAAACCTGCTTACAAGCATCACATTTGAAGGGAAGAAAATCCAACTGATGGCATCTTCCAAAGCTACAATGAGCTGCGCCCTTCACATCCACCTCCATGGCGTCGCTGTACTGACCCAATCGGCCCGATGGCAGGGAAACGCACCCACTGCGAGCTGAGAATGCGGAGCAAAGTGACATTTCATGGGACCTGACAAGGATTAAAGTCAAGAAAGGATGAGACACATCTGGTGCCCATCGAACATCATGAAACCATACATGATACACTACAAGTATCACTTCAAATCCCATTGAAACAACCAGTAGTCAACCGTCGGAGGGTTCCGAAAGTACGTGACTTCTCCACACTTGCTCAGTAGACTTTGGTTTTGTATTGATTCCCTAAAGACATCTTATCCAGGACCCAAAACCTATCACCATTTCTCATGTTTCACCACCCTGAAATTGGGTACGGGCCCCATGGGCCTTGGATTCGGAGGTGATGTCAACAAATAGCAAGAAATCCTGAAACTGGTCGATCCCAACACTTGGGTGTGTCTAAAAACTAGGGAGACCTCCCCGTTCCGAACCCCCTGGGGGTTCGGTTCGGGAACATCGGCCCGAAAAAACACCCGGCCATGGGGCGGGAGTTCCGTCTTCGTCTCCCGGATGTAAAACAACATGAAAACACCACCATCCACACCACCCATCTTAGAGGCGTAGGACGCTACTAGGAACAAGTGCCTTACTCACAAGAAGCATCAAGAAGCTAGTAGTATCCAGATCTCTTCAGGCGTCGACCGGATCCGAAGATCCACCGCCTCGGTCCGATCTTCGGCCGGGGCGCGCGGTGACGAAAAAGGGGCGTGCGGAGCGGGCATCGCGACGGTCACGGGGGCTCCTGGGCTCCTGGCCTTACGAACGGAGCATTCTTAAGTATACTAGGAACAATAGAACATGAAGTTCTTCAGATCTGAGGATATAGACTTCTGCGCTCCAATGCATTGTATAATATTGTATACAGTTCCTTTAAGACACGGAAGCAGGACAAACTTGCAGCATGGTCTTGAGATCAGTGCTTTAGATTGTTTCAAGATGTTTTCGGGGAGGTTTGGGGTGGTTTGGACAGAGTTCCAGGCGTTAGGCCCAGATGGTACAGCCCATTATGCGTTCACCGCATTTCACTGCCTAATAAATGTTCCATCAATTATTCACCCACCATGGTGGTACAGCCCAAATCAATTCCACATGATTCCACCATGTTCATCCATGTTCCACCCTTTTTCGGCGGACCTTGAAGGAATCGATCTTCTGCAAGAAGTTGGGGATCGTCTTGGATGAGTCCTTCGGCCGAGTTCACGGAGAAGGAGCTGAACGGAGAAGGCTTTGGCTGGCGGGTCCTTGACGAATTCCTTGATGCGATCCTCCTCTGTGAGGAGATATGTGTACCTTCCAAGTACCAGATCGCTAGAGGTTGGAGGCCATTGCCACTAGGTTGGAGAGTGGCTTAAGAGTGCCCTTGAGTAATAGCTAGCAAATCGTCCAACCCTGCTGATACGTACAAGCAACCAACCTCAGAGAGCGAATGTCTTCCTGGGGCTTAGGCTCATCATAAATCCGCACTGCCTCGAAAGCAAAAGCAGCTGAACGTTCGAACTCCACGAAGTTAGCCAAGGAGTTGAAGAAGATGGGCTGCTTTTTCTTGTTCTTTTAATCCATTGTTTAGCCACGGGACAACCTCGAGCCTCTGCCTTCAAGACTGCTGCAGTTCACCTCCACCCTTGGATGAAGAATTTTGAATGAATTTGATTGTCTTTTTACAGGTGTCTCCCAACCATGTTTCCCCCATGGTCATGTCACCCTTTTTGGAGGCTCCAAACCCTGGTTTTGGCTCTTCAGGTTCCTGTTCCCAGCCCGGCCAAAAAGAGCAGGAAAGCCTTGCTCTTTTAGCGAGCCAATGACTCACTCGGCCTGACTCCATCGCTCGGGCCTCGCTGGCATTGGCCATGTTGAAATGCACCGTTCGCTCGATGAGCTTTTCGGCCTTTGAAGGTTTGAGTGAGGGTCGATTGGGACATGGCCCTGTTTGGGCGAGGGTCTCTATCTACTGAAGCCGAGCATGGTCTCTATGCTATTCTCAATGATCTCAATGTAGGAGACTGACCAAACGTGACGTCATTCTGGTGTTGGTGGGAGTATCTGATGGGTCTCCAGTGAGTTTCTCAAGCTTGGGACCCGCTTGACTCTTTCTTATTCGAGTAAAGACATGAGCAACCATGCATTGGTGTGGCCAAAGGCCCCACCTAATCCAAAACATGACTTGTGCCAAACATACCTAACTTTAGGATCCTTTAGGACACCTGGCAGCGAAGTTCTGAGAGAGCTACTTGCTGCACATGCTGCTCTTCCAGGTAAGTGCCCCAAAGGTTCTTCGTCTCCTTGCTGGCTCCACTTGACGCCTCACATGACCCAAGTGATAAGCATCCCCCCGCAAAGAGTAGGAATTGTATAGTTTATATCTAATGTATATCATATTATAAGAGGCAGCAAGGAGCGTCGATATTTCTTGCGTATACGCTGTATTCGTCAATCTGGGGCAGTCAAATATCTCTGTCCAATGTTTGTCAAAACTGTTTCCGGTATCGTCTGTTTGTATCGTTGTTTTGGCAGTCACCTATATATAGGACCTATCGTTGCTTGAGGAAATCCTACAAAAGGCAATGTCAATGCAACGTCCGTGATACAAGTAATTTAACAACTTGATACTAGGGTCACAGGTCACAGCTCGTACTCAAAACAAGGAAAACGACTGGAGTTTGTCCGTCATGTATGTTCTACACGGTGTGACCCACCTGAACTCGACTTTCAGGCGATGGGATGTCATTGAGGCACACGACGAAGTCTCGGAACCTGAGACGTCGACCGACGTCGAAGAGCTTACTGGGCACGCTTTTGGTTGTACCTTAATTCAGGTCCATCATGGTCCATCTAATAGCGATGGCCTCATATGGCCTCTAACCTCATAGCTCTTTTTGTTGTACCTAATTCAGAATACCTTTTGGTTTGACCAACACTGGTCTATCGATGTCTATCGTGGTCTATCTGAGACATCACAGGACGGACATCAAAATAGAATAATAGCTGTAACTGTATCATTGTGTCTCTGGCAACACCTGGCACCCCTGTACCTAACATGGCGAACTCATTAACGCAACAAAGAACACTGACGGACTAAGCCCCTCCACGACCCCCCTCCCATCAACGATCCCCTCCCGATTTCCACTTGGTCCCTGACACGCGCAGCACTCGTTCCACCACACGTTCGGTGGAATCCTTGAGCTTCACCTCTTCACCTCGACACGAGTGGCCGTGGCCGGCTGGGGCGACGGGCGACGCTCTTGAGACCCCTAGAGATCGCTAGATGCTGTGAGCCAGACCCTTGGGCACCAGCTTGACGACCTGACAGCTCAAATCTTTGCTAGTTCCAAGTGAAGCGTGAGTCGCTCTTTGCTTTTTTCAACACGGACGATTTATCGACAAGCTGGGCAAAACGAACCGGATAGCTCACACTGAGTAGAAGACCAGAAATGCATCTTCCCGCTCTTCATAATCCTTCAACCTTGCACATCGAAGCTGCTGTCTAACACCTAGACCTAGACAATGGCTTTGTTTTTTTTGGCACTTTTGTGACTGGCATGCTCGGGCATGGTGGGCTGAGATCGGCACTTTGTCACCTCCTCTGGTGTGAGGGGTTTGGGATTGCTGAAGCGCTCGAAGAAGACGGTATATTCATGCACTGACTGTGCCACGAGGTGTCTTGTCCTGAGACGAGTATTGGGGCGACCAGAAGTGAACGCCCCTTCCCAGCAATCAAAATAGAACCTTCTGTAGTCTGTAATCAGAGATCATACAAAAAGCCAGAAAGCCTCTTAGGGTACACATGCACAGTTATAGATTTCTGCTCTGCCTCACTGGTCTAACCCATCTAAGAGAATCTGCCCAACCAGGCTCCGCACTGGACCGAGAGAAGTGCCAGTACACCCCGAAAGAATCGAGCCTCCGTTGGGCTCCTGTCGTCCAAGAGCAATGACAGGTCAACAACCCGACCAACGCCTTTTTGCATTGGTGATGCACGTGTCACTTGGATTCACAACTTGCGGTACGACATGCATCTATCAGCCTCTCCTGAGATGTAGGCTCTCCTGCCAGGCAATATTTGTAATAGGGCAAGAAGAATTCAAACAGCTCAGGCCAGAGGCTCCCAGACCATGACTCTCATTGAGGGTTTCAATCACCTTGAACACTGAACGGGGTGTTGACACCCAAGTAGCAACTAGTTCTGGTCGGCAAGCCTCCACAAGACCGCACACATCCGTACACAAGACCGCACAGTAGTGTTGACACCCTACACAAGACCGCGCCACATCTATTCACCGCACACATTCACTCTCCCGAGTCGGTCGCCTCGCGCAGGACGGCGCAAACCTCTTCGAACCACTGGGACTTAAACCTCGCGCAGCGAGGACCGGTGAAAACGGCCACGTGGCGGTGAAAAGTTCGGTTCTCTGAGTAACTCGCTTGGTGAAAACGTCGTGGCAGCAGGACTTCTGCCTGGGATGGGAGGAACGGCAAGATCCAAGCCTTTTGGTAAAACATTGGTTAAACTATATATATATATGTTAAACTGTTCAATGAACTTGTATCGATTGGACAGGTGAGGTCTGGTCAATTTCGATTCATTTTTGTAGGTTTGGATCTTCAGTCTCTGTTTTTTCACTCAAAACCAGGACATACAAATAGATGTCAAATAGATTCAGATAGATCAGATAGGACATTTGGGCTCACCGCCTTTCTGAGAAATGATCGATATCGACCTTGGCAGTGAGATGCCAAGCGAATGATCATCAATGAACTGTGAGCAATTCATTTCTGGTGATTATTAAGAAACATATATTCTGACTGATAAGGGACAACTCCTCAGAGGCGGACCATGCTCGAAGAAGGCGGCGGAAGGTCAACCAAAAGCATTGACCCATAGCCAGTACCAGTGCCATACCTTGTGGCAACAAGGAACGAAATGCACCAGCATGGCATGAGTATGTCTTCGGTGAGCTAGAAGTTGCCAAACTCTTCCAAGTCTAAGTAGAGGCTTGGCTATTACGTGTAAATTGCACCGTGGGAATTGGTCCAGTGTCCGTCCCAAGCGGACGAGCCGTGGAACAATGTGGAACAATGCGCGCCCAGAAAGCCATGTCATGAAAGTACAACTGAGTCCAAGAGATCGAAACGAAGAGAAAGTGAAAGTCCAACCGAGTCCATCCCTTTTTCCACGACCGAAGACGTTTTTATGCCCCCAAATGGCGTGGGGGGGTGATTCATCGATCTTCATCGGCCCGAAAAAAGTGCGGACTCCGCGAAGAGGCTCCGCTCGTTGGGTCGAAAGAGGAGATTCCAGGGTCGATTCCGTCGATTCCTCATTCGTCCGACCGTCTAAAAAAAAAAAACGTCCGACTGCGTCAGAGTGGCCACAGGTAAAGCAACCGCAAAGCAGACTGGTTGCAAACAGTAAGGATCCGAACCTTCCAAAAAAACAAGGCGTGTGCTGCATGCATCTGGCATGATCCACTGCCAAAAAGTCTGCTGCTTGACTCACTTGACACAAATGCTTCAAGTGTCATCAAATATCAAAACCCAATGAGTGAGCGAGAGAGAGAAGTCCCTGCTCTTTTTCCGCATCGGTCATGTCGGGCTGTATGTCAGCTATCAGCTGGTCCAATTCTTCCTGCCGGGTAGCACAGAAATCTCAAAAGTCCTTCAAGCAACCAACTACTCAAAGGAAAATGTAATATCAGCAACAAGACATGTAAGTAGTCGACACTTTGGTTATTCTTCGAGGTTCTTTGGCACACCCATCCACCCAAGGCAACTCAATGTCTCCTCCAGGATGAGCAGTTCGCTTTCCGAAGAGAGACGATGATCGCCTCCCTCCACCCGACGCAACGAGGCCTCGTGAGCTCGACAAGCAACACGCTTCCTTCTCGAATCCCACGGATGGTTTTCCCCTCCATTAGCTTCTTGTAAGTAGTAGTAATGCCAGGAGCTACAAGTAGTTTCTTGCTACTATTATAGTAGTAAGGTAAGGTGCCTTGCTACTAGCAAAAACAGCTCCAAAAGGCAGGGCTCTGGCCTTGACTTTCTGGGCCAGCAAGCTTGATTCCAAGCATTCCTGAGAACACGCATGTTCACAGGAGCAAAACGGACAGCCTGAAGGTTTTCTTGCTCCCAACTTCTTCCCAGAACAACATGCAGTCACTCCACCACTCTGAAGCACTCCCTGCTTGCAAACATGGCACTGAAGCTTCTATTGGTATTGCTTCGTCCTTGTCACCGTGGATGATGCCTTGAAAACAGAGCAGGATTTCATCACAGCTTGTTCAATTCAGCACGTCAGCCGCCCAGAGCAGTCAAGTTGCGCACCACACAGGAAGAAGGCACTCTCCCCGGAATAGTGTGCTCCTACACCACCAGGAGGATCATGAAACGCTAGTGTAGCGGATCTATTTGCATCTTCAACTAGCACCAAAAACATTCCTTTAAAGATCGTTAAAGGGTAACAGGATGTATAATTTTATGTCGACATCAACTCAAGGGAGGCACACTACAGACCTCCGGAATAGACCAGGTAGTGTAGAGAGAGGGCAAATCAAAATGTATCTGTATTGTATCGATCAATATGTCAAACAAATGCGCAGAACCGGGGTGTCGCTCTACCAATCTTGCTCGCACTCCCATCCACTCCTGCAGCTCAATCGGCACCAAGCTGTTGATGCTATAGTGCCCGCTCGCCGAGTGCTCCGAGGCTAGTAGGCAGGTGCCTCCACAAAAAATTGGTAGTTCAATAAACCAGCCCAACTTCCAACTTCCTAGCCTCCCGGGAAAAAGGCCAACAGTAAAAACATCAACCAACCACCTCCTTGCATCCTGCCCATTCTTCGACTCCACCCGCTGTTGCTTTTTCGCCTGGTGGCCCTGGACTCGCTTTCAGCGCCGTGGAAGGCGCGGTGGGCGCCAGCAGCAGCACAGCGGCCACGCACGGGACGGACGGCCGCGGGGCGGCTCGGCGGCCTGCAAGGCCGGCGGCAATCCTTGAGGGCGGCCAGGGTGCGGATGGAGAGGCTCCAAGGGGAGGCTCCAATTGCTCTAATAGCTTCCAACCTAATAGCTACTGGCAGTGATGGCCTCCAACCTACTAGCGATGGCCTCCAACGTATAGGAAGTTTGGGGGGCATTTCTTTGGTCTCACAGTGACAGTGGGAAGCCAGCGAAAACCCGAAAACCACGGGAAATAGAAATTGGTTGAAGGGTCCTTGATTTTAAGGCGGACGCCGCTGTTTCGATCAACTCCTCCGCCCAGCACGTTGAGGTGTCAGGTCTCATTCCAAACGTCGCGAGCGACGAGCCGAGTCTCCAGGCCCCCATGGACGCCGCCACCAGCACCCAGCGACGGGAGGTGCCACACGTGGCCTCCAGCTGCGCCATGGCCGCCTCCGCGTCGTTCAAGGCTTCCTGAAGGCTGCTGAGCTCCTCAGAGGTCTGGCAAGGGGGATGGAGGGATGGTTTTGAGCGAAGTGGTTTACTGCGACTTCATCATGGCAATTGATGTACACATGTTCTTCCTGTGCCGAGAGTGCCACACGTAAATGTGTGTAAATGTCAGAACCCACTGGGAGTCCACAGAGGTCTGAAGGACTCATGTGGAGTTGCTCAAGGATCGAGAAGATCGGAAGAATGACTCAGAATGACATCTGCTGCCCAAACCTCTTCTTTCAAACCTGTTTATAACAGGTGCTCTTCGCGCACCACGCGTTCCAGGGCCTCTGGTCTCTTCGCCTCTTCCGAGCCCAAAGGCTTGGAATATTCGACGCAGTGAAGGCTGTAGCCCCTTCTCTCGGCATAGGCCTCTCAACGGTGCAAGGCCATCTGCAAGGCTGACGACGTGAATATGGAACGCCGATCGACTTTTCCCTTGCAAGAATGACATCTATATATTTGTTCATGACATCCTACTGTAGAGCGGCTGACATGGGTAATCATGGACTCAACAACTCTGCGGCTTTCGCAACTTATTAGTGGTCATGGCCCTGTCCGGTGTTCAAACGTTGTAAAGTCCTCTTCGGTCAGGACCTGCCATTCCTTTTGATCCCCAACCTCAAATACATTGAATTCCCCAAACAGTTTACTGTTAGGGTTCTCAAAAAAACACACACTCTCCACTCTCCACCGTCCATGCTGGCATATTATACTGTTTAAATATCAATCCCTTTTCTTCATCTCGATCGCCTCCAGGAAACGCTCCTTGCGACCACCCGGCAGGGAGCCGCAGCCCGGCAAGTACAAGACACAAAGCCCTGCATCCTTTCGGACATAAACCAGCAGCCAAAGTCTGGACATGTTACACTGCCAATCACAAGAGCACACTGCTATCTGCAAAGGACGAAGGAATTGAATGAAGTGCTCAAGATTGGAACGCCTGAATTGATTGGTTTCTTGAGCCATGCTTTGTGCTCAATATGTCTGCCATTGTCTGTCTAATGTGTTTGCACAAACTGTTCGTGTCCTCTCGTCCTTAGCCATGTGCCGGGCACAGGCCGCCAGTAGCCGCGACATGCGTCCGGACGGTCATGAGAAGAGACCTGTCTAAAAGAACCAAACAAATAGCAAGGTGTAGCGCTATTAGTAGCTTCTTGTTACTATAGTAGTCATGCCGTTGCCCTTGTTCCCAGTAGCGATGCACTTGTTACTAGTAGCGATGCCCTAGCTACTAGTAGCGTCCTTGTTACTATCATGATGGATTGTGGGACAGCTTTATCGCTCGAGGGGAGGTCTTCTGAAGGAAAGACGCAAGACAAAGCACATCGACTCACATCAAAGCACGCCAATGATGGATGTTGAGTCTGTGGCGAAGAGCTTAATGGCTCAATGATGGAGGCATGATCCAGTCATGTAGCTGGCAGTCATCTAGTCTGTCTGAACAAGTTGTCCCAAACGTCTGCGGCCAATCGAGGGAGTTAGCGGAGTTGAAAGCTCACCAGTGTTCTGCATCCACTGAATCAAAGCTCAAACAATGACCGGAACTGCCCTAATGCCCTAATGCCCCTATGTGCCTCACTTCAAGCACCTTGTATACAGTCTGTGTCCACATCACATCCATCCTTGAAAATTCCTTCGTAGCCAGAAGAGTCAAATGATCGAAACCAATGCAAAGAAACATGAAATGAAACATGAAATGAACCATTATGAAGCATATTATCTCATATTGGCTGAGTTAAAAAGCAAACTTCTGACATCTTCCGACCGTGCACGTCACAGTCGCCACCGCGCGAGGAGACTCCGAGCCCCCGCGCCACCGCGTTGCGATTCTCCTCGATGCCATCCCGCCATTCATCCGGCGGTCCGCCTAGACGGTCCCAAACAGCTCGAATTGGGCTGAGGCTGAGGTGTATAAGACAAACCAATCTGTCTCTGCTACAAGTCACATTTGTTCGGGGTATGACCTATGTTGTGTGCAAGATGTTGTAAGGAGGCGCTGATGTTGGATGATGTTGGATGCACATGGACGCACCAAAGGAAATCTATGAGTGGTTTTTGTGTTGAAGAGTTTGTCCCCATGCGAAGGCCACCAGGGCCAGCACTTCGACCGACCACACAAGTATACCGTGTGGGCGCTTGCGCCAGCCAAAAAAAAAGAAGGGAAGGTGGTTTAAGAATGTTTAAGATGGGAGCAAGGGCGCTACTAGGGGTTCCTGGCCTTACTACTAGGAGCAAGAAGCTACTAGGGGCTCCTGGCATCGCTACTAGGAGCAAGGACGCTACTAGGTTGGTTTAAGATGGGAAGGTGGTGGAATGGCTGCTTCGGGTCCCAAGCCTTGGAAGCTTCGGCCCGACACCCACTCCGCGCCTACCGTGCCCTCGATGCCCTCGAAAGGCACCGTGCCCCAATCAGGCACGGGCCTCACTTGGTTTCGGGCACAACCAAAGACGCAAAAAGCCTTCCATCCATGTGACAGTCACATCATGTCACATCTCCCTTTAAAGAAAAGGAACTGAAAAGCACATCAAGCAAAATTACAAACTATAGACTATAGACTATAGATGATCTCCAACCCAACTAATAGCGATGGCCTCCAACCTCATAGCAAGATGACAAACTCCTGTCAAGTCCCACATGAAGTCCGATGTGAACGAGTCGAATGAGCTGCTTGCCACACTTGGGGCAAGGCGATGGTATAAACGGCACCAAGGCCCGTTCACGGCTGTCTTGATCCTCCAATCGTGCCATGGGACGTGCCCCCAACCAATCCCGAAGGGTTTGGAATCTCTTTCCCTCACAGAGATTTTAAAAGCAGGAAGAATCAGGGTGAGTCAAAGAAATCCATAACCTAGACCTAGATCGCAATTAGACATAATTCATCATAATTCGACCCTGCCTTGAAGATGTAGTCTGCAATGGCACGCTTGCAAGCGCGCACATACCTTGATTCATGGTCGCTGGTCTGAAGGAAAGGTATGGTACGATGAAAGGTGCAGGAGCTCAGCTTCCTCACTGGAAAAACTTAATAATTGAACTATATGTATATGAGTGTGGATCAAGCTTCGACCCTGCCCAACCCCTTCAGAACCATGGAAAATAATGACAATTCCGGTCAATTTTTTGACATCTTCACCTGATTCTTCAAAGACAGGGGGTATTGACCTATGACATGCACAGATAAGTCATAGAGTTTTTCACTTCGAGCGAGTGTAAACAGCACCTGAGGCTCTTGCCCAGCTTTCATCTCAATTACAACTGCCTCCATGATGGATTGCACCACCTTTTCATGGCACACCCATGCACCAAAATACACAACTGCCCAACAGCAATTTAGGCACTACACATCTTCCACCCCTGTTCCATCTTGCGTCTCCGTTTCTGTCGTTTCCATTTCTGCCGCCTCGCCTGTGGATCCAAGTCTTTGAAGAGCCGGTCGGCTTCCACCAGAAAAGCTGAGGCGTGGAGGAGATCAGGAGAGATCAAGAGAGATGGTGAAGAATGGAGTTGGGAGTCACCGGGCTTGATTTCTCAGACTCTCAACCACCTCCCTAAGTTAAAGGAACTGAGGCTTAAATTTGAGTTGAAAGGTTCTATATGGAGTTGTGCAGTAAACAGGCGTTTTCACGCCTCTCTCTGCATTTCGCCAGCTTCAATTCTAGACCTTCTCAAAGGCACCGCTTCGACCCAAGCCAAAGGTCGGAACTCCAATGCCCAGTGGGTTTGTCTTCCCCCCCAGGACGAGTCCAGGCGCCTACGTTCTCCAGCCATTCGCTGTTGATTGGGGCCACTGCAGCATCGGAAATACCATCGGTCTCGGTGCGGGACTGTGAAACATGCCAAGCACACAGTGACATGCCAAGCAGCTCACGCAAGTGCTGTAAACTGGGGAAAGCAGCCGTGCAAAGACTCTGATTCTGAGCTTCCTTGCTATATAGTAGTTGTATCGCAAAAGGCCACCATAGAACGTGCGCCTTTTGCAAAGCTGGCCGGATGAGAGTGAAGAAGCAAAAACTGCAGCACAGCCAGCACCATTCTGTTTGAACAAGAACACCGATCCCCACGGAACTGATTCTTTTTCTCTACGTCTACATATCACTTCATATTTCCGCATTCATACACTCCTTACTGCTGGTGAACACCCCAACCAGCACACTAGCGCACCAGGACCACGCACCTGGAGACTCCAGCTTCCTTCAACTCCACTTCCAGAGAGGAGCCTCCAAGGAAGTGTGAAACCAAGCCCTGGGGCCGAGACCACTGGTCATGAGTCATGTCCTTGTTTTGGAACTCTTTCATTCAGAGTCGGCATAGTCCACAACCAACCCTACGCACTGAAGCTACAAGTAGCCCCGTGCAGCATGCATTCAATTGCGGGCAGGCGCGCACGCGCGCGAGCGCGCATACCCTCACAGGCCTGGGAGGATCTGTGAGTGCTCAAACTCACGCTCCAAAATGTCCATCGGCGCATACTCCGGCTGTTGACCTGTCAAATTTGACGAATGGACGCGAAGCTGTGGAACCGCAGAGGGGAAAACATATCTAAGACCATCCATCCAAGCTCTGATTGTTTGATGCCTTAACTTTGGTCTGTGAAGCCATTTATGATTACATCAGGATACTCCCCAACAGCAAGAAATGGCCATCTGCCCAGCGAGGCGCAAGGACTCCTCACTGCAACGACTCCGAGGCGACTTGCGACCCGACGTGGCGAAACTCGCTGCCTTTACCATCCTTCTTCGGGATCTTTCTTTGTCTCCACTTCAAACACTTTCCTTCGTGGCTCCACACCTTGGCAGCAGGTCTTGCGCCTCTTTCGCTCGTTCTGTAATTTTGGGGTTGCGCGTGCTACCACCATGATCCCGAAGTGGTCATAGTCAGAATTCATTGCTTGACATTGCTTAACAGCTGAATGCCCTTCGGTATCATGAACTGAACCTGACATGCCGGCCATCTCCACCATGAACGACTGAACTCCCACGGAACAGCGTTCCCTCCGCGTCGCTCCGCGCGACGTCGCTCACGACGCTCCGGCCGAGGCGCCAGGATCCCCGAGAGGGGCGACAGGTGCGAGGCGATGCGGCCCGAACTGCTTCCGTGATGAAGATCCTCCGGATTGGACCGAGACCCGGGAAAGCCTGGTCGAACCAGCGGTGTTGTGCTGGTGTTTTGGGATGTAAAAACACCCACGAAGGTGAGCGTTTTGAAGGTTTCTTCGGCAAAAGGATGCAGGAATGATCTGGATGGATCTGAGATGTTGCTTGCACCGCGTGCCCAATATGAGTGACCCCCTGTTAAAAAATAAATAAATAACGCACCCACCACAAAAGTCTCGAAACACTTGGGGCAGTCTGACCGGGTGGATCGACGCCTCACCCGACGGGTCCGCGCCAGTTGGACGCCTCACCATAAGGAGCTGCCAGCGTCCGCGAAAACTCGTCCAGGAGCGGAGGGAAATCGATCGCCTCAAGCGCTTGGGAAATCCTTCAAGGTGTTCTGGTTCAAGTACCGGGACACGTGCCCTCTTGCACAACATGGATGACTGGAAGTCTCCCCCATTTTTGCGGATGAGTCCTGGTGGATTCAAACCGTTTGGGAGCTTCATGTGCAAGGGGATGGCTCACATGGCTTCAGCCAGCCACCAGCTTCCATCAGTGTCCAGCCTTCGCAGGATGTGACCGGACAAAAATGTTGTCCATGATGGACTTCGAATCTCCTGCACCTTGGGAGCTGGACACGCGACGGGTTCGCGGGACTGCCAAAACAATCCAAAACACCATGCGGTTGATGTGAAACCTCACTTGAATGTTCTTTTTGATTCAAGTAAGAAGTATCTCTGCGTTGGCCATCGCTATTAGGTTAGAGTTGGAGGCCATTGCTATTAATCATTGTATCTCTGGGTTCTCATTTCGACTCAATTCGGGCTCTGAGGCAAAGCGCTAACACTCGCATTGGAGCGAAACACAGGGCTGACCTATGCGCAGTGGCACAGCGAGGGCTTGGTTGCTTCTATTGGACGATCAACGAATACCTACGAGCAACGTGTGGCAAACAATGATGCGGCCAATCACAGCCCAGATATTACCAGAAAATCAACCGTGTCACCGTGTCACCATGTCCTTCTACCAGTCTTGCGGCCCCCAAAGTAGGGATGGACATGCTTTTTAATTCCACCACCTTAGAGCCCTCATGCGACCTCATGCGACGCATCAGCCTAGGATTGGTCCGGGGCCTTCTTCCACCCCGAGCACCCCCCCCCGAGCGGCGCCTCTCCGAGCCGCTGCCGCGGCGAAGGGCCGTGGGACGGCGAGCCGTCGGGCGGTTTGATGGTTCGGACTGCCGCGGGGCGTCAGCGGTGGCCGTCCAGCGGTCGAAAGACGTTGGAAAGACGTGGAATTCGTATTTTCAAACGCTCAAAATCCGAGCAAAGATGGTGGTATGAAACTCAAAAATGCTTGTGGGTGATTCCGAGTGATTCCCCATGATTCCCCCTCAGTGGCTTGTGAGGGGTCAAAGTAGTGCAATTATGTAGTGAGTTCATCCCAATTTGGAGGAACGTGTAGTCGGTCAGAACCCCTCATATCCATGATGTATCAGAAAACAATTTACAGCATTATCACAAAAAGATTGTTGGTGTCACCTGCTTCAACATTGGTCCTTCAGGGCTCTCTTGGAGAACTTGTCCTGCCAAGACCACCCAGCAGCGCACCTGAACGAAACTCCGGATGAAAACTCTGCTGGGAGGCGCTGTGAGGAGCTGGTGGTGCCTCTCCTGCGCGAAGCGGCCACTGGTGCCCCCGTCCGATCACGAAGAAAAGCACGTGTTCCTTTAAACGTGCTACAGCAAAGCGAGAAAGTCATCCCTTGAATGGGAACGCATATTTGCAAAAGTCACCCCTAAGTCATATCTTCTTGGTTCAATGGCAACGCATGCAAACGACCTCCAGTATCATGTGGGAACTTTTGCAACCCGCCTGCTGCAGGTCCCCTAAAGGCCCTAAAGAGAACCATGACCCTAAAGAACGGACCCCGACCCCACGTGTTTCAGCATATGTTATAAAGCATCACTAGCTGGGGGGCTAAACCGGAAGCTTTGGATGCTTGCTGTTGATCCAAAGACTCGCAAGCATAGAAAACAAAGAGTGTACAACAAGTTCTAAGACCCTCAAAGAGCCTGTAGGATGTTGCTTGGGGTCAAGGGGAAGGGACCATTGCATCTATTCCTTTCTCGGTCTTTGTAAAAAGGTTTTGGGTGGGTGAAGGATGTCCAAAGAAGTCCAGAGAGCTTCCACCAAGCACTGCTGCAGTCCTTCCCGTGAAGGGTCAAGCTTTCCTTAGTTTGCAGAATCGCTCCCATTCTCCAGCGACTCCACGGCATTCCACCAGCACAACTCTCATCAACTACGGATAGTAGCGAAACCAATCAAACACAAAAAAGACAAGTGAAAGCATATTATGAAAATGATTGAAAACCCTTGTTCTTGAACATCTTGAACATTCTAATTGCACTTAGCATTTCTTGACCTTTTCCTTTTGTGCTTCTTTCCTGGCCCGAAGCTCTTCGTCGTTGCATCAGCGACTTCACCGTCTTGCCCGGCTCGGTGCTCGCCGGTGGCTCCAGGGTGACAGCGTTGCGCGGCAAGAACTCCATCCGTTGGTTCTCGCCTAGTAGGGAGGTCTGTCTATGTCTCTCTCAACATGAGGGGAGATGCCCTCACTCTTGCAGCGTTTAGTTAGTTTAGTTCACCTTCTGCCGAGATCAGGGCATCAATCCACAAATCTAGACCCGTTTTTCGGCCAAATCTACACAACTCTCAATTCCAGGAGCCGGGCATTTTAACTCACCAAGGGGAGAGAAGTCCACCAGGACCAAAGGGTGCTGGGTACAAATCTCGCCAAATCGATGGATCACCTGGGTGTCGACGCGGCAAAAGATTGCAGAGTCGAGTAGGCCAAACGCGCAGCGACTGCACAAAAGCCCCATATAGCTAAATGGAGAAGTATGTATGTAGATCGATCTTCTTTAAGAAGGTGTTGGAGTTTGTTTCTGTCTGTTTGGGGATCGCCACAAAGAGTCACGGCGAGGAACGGCAGTGATGACATTTGGAATTATCGCTTTGTCTGCCACATGCACCGCAGCAGCAATTTCTCCATACCTTGGTGAGAGCGACGAACTCGTTGTCTCCAGCAGTTCGGCAGTGAAGGTCAAGAAGTGCGACAAGCAGACAACTCGACAACTGAACATCCCTGTGGTCATCCAAAGAAAACTGCGAGAAAACCAGAAAACTTGGATCTCCGCTTTCGCTCCAAACCAATTCCCTATAATTCCTCTCTATCCTTGTCCCTCCTTCTCGGATCCTCTGTGCGTTCCAAGGCGCGCAGCTTTGGTACTCGGGCCTGGCTGGCCCTGATCCCCCGGCTTCATCGAGATGCCATACTGCAAGAGGAAAAGCTCCGAGACCGCCAACTGGGGCTCCATCTCTTTCCCAGAGCTGAAGAGCACACCTCGAAATCCACTTCAGTCTGTCTCAGTCCGTCTCAGTCACGCAGAGAACACGTCTCACAATTGGTAAATCCCAATGTCACACCAATGCTTTTTCTCTCTCATTCTTGACCTTTCCCTTTGCCATACATCCTAGCAATTGTGATATGTGGTCTGAGACCTTGAAAATGAGTTCTGTCTGTTCTCAGTGTTTCAAAATGCATCATATCGGGCCATTCCTCGAATACCCGGCCACGCCACGCGCACGCGCCATTCCTCGAGGCACCTAGGGGCATCAGTGACATGGACTTGCCCACTTTGAGGCCTCGGTTCCGTGCGGCCGAGGAGACAGCGCGCGCAGCTTCACCCGACGCACAGACGGGGGTGACAGCACCTGTGACAGCACCAAGAAAGGCCCTGGAACCGAGGATTCGATCGACCAACATGTCAATTTCATTCATATATAACTTCAAGGGATGATGCACGTCAGTTCCTTCAGCTTTACTTTCGCATTACTCAGAAATCACGGAATGTCCCTTCACTTCGCTTTTGGGTTCCGAATGGCGACCGGATGCGACCGAGGTGAACCAGTTCGTTCTCTGCCGCTGCGGGGCTGTGTGCTGTCTGCGCCGCTAGGGTGTTCCAAATATTCACGATGAGCTCCTTGGAGCGCTGAAAGGAAGCTGAAACCCCAAAGGCACGGATCGAGCATAGGTACTGTGCGTATTTAAACAAATATATATATATATGTTAGAGAGAGAGAGAGAGTCATTGAGTTTGTTCTTCATGTTCAAACAGCTCCAAGTTTGCTGTCTCAATGGATGGGTCTCTTCAACCACCGGCGTCTTTTTGTATTCACACTATACGTGCTTCATCTACACATGGTGGTGTCTGGCATCACGCTCATGCTCATCACAGACCCGTCAGCCAAGGGTCCACCGCCTCCTCCTCATTTTCCGGAGGCACAATGGAGCGCACCGACTTGATGCAGTCTCCTGGCGTGGTCGAGGAGTGCGCGCCTTTTCCACGTCGACCACACGGAGAGCAACGAAGCGAGCACGAAGCGAGCACACGGAGTGTGTCCAAGGAGGGAGTTCAGCATTGCACTGGCCGGCTTGGGAGAATAAGTATATAGTATATATAGTAACAAGAAGCTACTAGGAGCAAAGGGCATCGCTACTAGGAGCCAGGACGCTACTTACTAGCTCCTGGCATTACTACTATATATATATATTGTTATAATTGATTGTATATATATATATGCTTGATTGTAGTTTCATGGATTTGGATGTTGTTTCCTGCAAGGCACCCATGTTCTTTCGGTATCCTTCAAAGGAAAGCACCTCTGCCTCCACCGATGTGACCGGAAGCTAATACTGGATGGAAACCGACAAATCCCCAACATGTCTGGAGCTTCATGGGTGGTACAATGCACTGCGACCCCGAAACAAGGTGGAGTGGGCACGATTCATTTGGTTCCTAGATGTTTAGGCTTAGGGAACTTAACTTATGATTCGCTCGACCCGTCCTGCAATCTTTTGCAATGTGATCGTGGAGGATGCCATGCCCCTGGCCGGCTCCTGGCTTCATCATGGAATACCGAAGCAACTCCATGCAAGCCCAGATCAGGCTGTCATGGACCATACTGACCATACATACAAATGCAATCACAGGCATCTGATTGCAGATCTGATTGCACATGGTTGCAAAACTCGCTCAGCAGGGGGATCTCACTCTCATGGCTTTACCAGCTTTACCCAACTCAGCAAAGCGGCGCTGGTCTTCAGCGCTAGGCCATGAGGTCGGCGGGGGCCGTCGTCGCGGCTGATTCAAAGCGTCTAAGAGGTCTTAGGGGTTGGGACTTAAGACTTGGCTTTCAATCTGAGCTGCGAGCACAACATCCAGGTCAGATTTGTTCTCGAGGCTGTCTTGGGTGCACGGGGTCAATTTGCCTTGACCTTGAGCTACCAAGAATTCACAAGCGCCAGCTGGTCATGATTTGCGTCACTTCAACAGTGTCCTGCAAAGGCGATAGCTTGCTAAACTGCTTTTGTGCTGAACTTCTGGGAGTTTGGAGCGGCTTTTGGTGCTTGAGAAGCTTAAGCTGAGGGCAAGCAGCATGCTCTGGGACAATTCTTCTCCAGGAAAAAATCCAGAGTGAGTGTTGAAAGCCCTTAAAACGAGTTGTGCTCATGACTTCTAGAGATGTATGGAAGCAGTGTGAGCCATTTTTGAACCTGAAATGATATGCTGCCCTCCTGACAGTGGGGGCACCCTCACTGTTCAAAGGCAGCACCGTGGCCGAGTGCATTGACGCCAGGTGAAACCATCCGGACGCCATCTTGGCCCGGTCACTTCGTTGAGCTTATTCGCCCAGCAGGGAAGTAAGGATGTGCTGGCAGTTCATTTGGAGGCGATCTGAAGAGGGAAAGACCTGTCACAGCACGGTAGCTGCTGTGGAGTCGGCTTGAGATTACGTCTCTGAGAGTTTTCAGCCATATAGCTTTCAAGTTCTTGATGGGACACTGGTGGTATGACTGGGTCGGGCCGCTGGCAGGACACGGATTAAGAGTAGGGTGTCTCACAATGTACTGGGTGATGCCCTGCTCCGAAGCCAAGGTCAAAACAAGTAAACTGTCCAAAACCTAGCTACCTCAATCCTCTCGGGTGGGGAAAAATATGCTTCAACTAGTCATAGCCAGTCATAGCTACTCACTTATAGTTTTGCGACGAAGAACTCTCCCACATGAACGAACAGATCGACACCTGCATGATCTTCATCAAGGTATTGACAGCCTCTTCCGACGAAACCTCAGTGCCATCCACCTCAGAGAAGAGCACCCGAACCCGAAACCATTGGCGAAACCAGAATTCCCGTGGTTTGCCTTGAGGGGACCGGTGCAAAGTGGCATCTTTGGCCGGGCTTCAAGAATCCCGCGAAAACATCCAAAACCGAAAAACATAAACGGTCAACAAAAACGTTGCAAAAACGGCTGAACACCATAGCTCATGCTGGGCTGAGGCGTCAGCCCCACCCAGGGCCCCGACTTCCTCCAGCGGAGGCAGGTCATCCTTGTCCTTTTCCTCAGCAGTGCTCGGACAGGACAAAATGATAAAAAGCTTTAGTCTCCACAGTCTCCACCCTAGTTGAATGCAATCAGGCCAATCATGGATCCTACCCTGAGTGGTCTGAGTCGTCTCTCCTTTCATGCTGAAGTTGTGAAATCACCCTCCAAGTGCTGTGCGAAGTTCTCCTCCCTGGCAGGGCGCTTGCCTTGGGCGCTGCCAGGAAGCCAAACTGGCGAAGTGTTCACCAATCGGGTCACCGCATGAATCATCTTCAAATGCCACGTGCCGTGGCAGATTTTGGCTGTATGACCTTGTTTGAGTGACTTTCATCTTGGAGAAGAGCACAAAGTGTCAAGATTCGCAGATCAGTGTTTCTTCTCCGCTTCTTCTTGAGGACATGACCCAGACTTCTCGCCACAGACTGCTGCACCGTCGGGGGTGACGGGTCGATCCTGTCATTCGCGACGAATTTGCTGTTCCGGTTGGTCCGATCGAGTCGGACGACGCTTCGGACATCGACAGCATCTGTGGTTTCGTTGAAGCCTGGTTCTTTCGAAGCCTGAGGTTTGCCAGATCTACTCCGATCTACTCCCCTCTCTCCCCTATTCTTGGGCACACAAGTACACCTGTAGGCGCAAAAAGTGGCTGCTCGCTGCTCCAACTCGCAAACGTGCCGGAGGCTCAGCATCAAGTGAAGCACGGAGGCCGTACAGCTCGAAGCGATCTGATGTGCGTCAGAGCAATTCTTGGCATTCGGATTTTCGGGCAATCCTGTATCTTCCAAGATGGGGGGGGCATGTAGGAACCCTTTGGTCTTGCCTCAGATCACTGGAATGAGACATGTGCGGCCCATATTTACAGGGGTTTTGCTCAAACATACTCAGAGTAAGGGGATGCCCCAAGGCAAAGTGGGTTCATCCCCCCTGTTTGGTCTGCCATTGTGGCTCCGAAATCGCATCTCGTCTCAGACCTCCTCAGCTTCGGTCAAGTCCACCACCTGGCAGGATAGGAACACCAACAAAAGGGATGTTTTATCACATCAAGGCCTTGGTTCTTCACAAAAAGAAGCGAAAGAACATGAAAGAATAAATCAAATTCGTTCCACTTCCATCCACTTCCCATGCTTCCCACGCCGTGAGGACTCCTTTCGTGGCCACAACCAGACGCGTTTGGCGACGCTGGGCGTCCCAGACCCGTCGCCCCGTGCAGCTCGGAGGCTTCGCGAAGTCCAGGTGCCCCTGGAGAACGACTCGGGCCCCGGGCGGAGGAACGACTCGGTCTTTTCTCGGGAAAAAGATATCTGTTTAAAAAGTGTGATCATAATTTAGTAATGATTACTCATTATCATTATTGATTAAATGATCTAGATTTGTTTTTCTAAAATTTTACTAAAATGATGTGTTAATGATTAAGGATTAGTAAATTTACCTAGATCCTAATCGCAATGGCCTGCCAACTTACTAGCGATGGCCTCCAGCCTACTAGCGAAGGTCAAATCAGGATGGGAAAAGGGTGGTGGTGACGGTAGCGACCTGGTGACCCATAAAACAAAGCTTTTGAGGGACTGGATCGGTTGGGTCCCTGAGAGTTTTAAACAGCGACAAAGGTCACAAACTTGCTGTTACCTGATGTTCCAGTCTTTGGTGCGTTGTAGTTCTGGGAAGTCAAACAAAGTACAGGCAAATCAGTTCCTTTTGACATGTCAATAGGGTCAAAAGTCAAACACCCAGTGACCACGTGCCCAAATTGCGGAGATTGCCGTCTCACCGGGTGCTAAACGGGTCAATCCTTCCGTTGGAGTGCCCGATCCCAGCCTCCACAGCATCCAACATCGTGGCCACCAGAGCAGCCACAAAGTCGGGGAGCAATGGAGCGTCCTGCCGAACATCCCCAGGTCTGTACTGATTCTGTGAATGTTTGGGGGTAGAGAAACATCGGCATTCAACCCAATGGTTGTAAAATCTGCCCATTTGATATAAAGCCATGTAGTGGGAATGGTTGGCTTTGACCTCAGTATCCATCAGTATCCTCCGCACTCCAGTAGGCTGCCCGTGCCACCGCCTCAGCTTAAGCCAGAGGAATCGGCTGGGAAAGTGTCACACGATCTAAACACGCAATCTAAAACATGATAAAGTCATGTCATGTTTATCCAACGATCCCAATTGTTGGCAATATGGATCCCAATATATTGGGTCTATCCTAATACCTGTAACAGTGGATGATGATGATTAGAATATACTACAATGGTATGGATCCTATTGAGACATATACGGGAACGTCATGGAACATCCTACCATGAAGTCTTTTTGGCGACAGCCCGGCAACGTCGACTGCATTGAGGGTCCCCCACTCGGACCGCCTCAATGTGGGCATCCAAGCCTTTGCGCCGAATGCTGTTGAAGGAGAAGCGAATGGGCGGCCGAAGTCTGGGCAATCCCACTGCCTTTTTTTATGCACATGGTGGCACTTGCTGGCGCGGTTTGCATATTCGCTGGGGCTGTGGCTGTGGAGCTCAGAGAGGCTGCCAAGAGGATGTTGCTGCAGAAACCTGAGGCGATGCGATGAGATGGCAACAAAATATGTCTGACTTCCCCCTAGCAGCTCAAGCATAGGTCCAAATTCCCACCACGCCGATGTGGAAAATGGATGAAACTGGTGGCAACATACACACGAAAGTGACAGCCTTGAAGAGCTATGGAGGGCCTGTGATGTATCTCAACATGGCACTCTCCAAGGGCCCAGTGGGTGAAACATGGTGCAAAATATGTGTTGATTCCCTTGCTACTGGTAGCTTCTTGTTACTAGTAGCGATGGCCTCCACCTAGTAGCTTCTTGCTACTAGTACAGCCTATGTTTTGTTTCCCTTTGGATTGGGATCTGTTTGAACCTCTCGCCATATTGAGACAATCTCACTGCACTGCTATGGATGGATTCTCAGTCTCTTGGTTCCAGGTGGTTCCATGCTGCCCTGCCGAATCTGCAAGTGTCACCACAACAATCTCGGCGCCAAACCATGCCACCAACTGATAGGAGGACTCAAAGAGCCCCGTCAATGCCTGCAGGTGTCAGGTGCAGCTGTTTGTTTTTGAGCAAATGGAGGTACACCCCACTCGGCAGTCCAGCGCGGCAGACACAGGGAATCCAGAGCGTCGCCTTCAGCAGCTTGCGACTGAGTCGTTCATCCTAGCAGTGGTGCGCCAAGTTTCGCCAAAGCCAACAGTAGCGCAGAAAGAAATGACCAAAGTTACTAATAGCTTATTGTTACTACTAGTAAGGCACTTGTTCCTAGTAGCGTGGCACTTGTTCCTAGTAGCTTCTTGTTACTAACAGGGGTCACCACCTGAACTAAGAGAGCTGTCTGGCTTGGATCCAAGCCATGGTTCTTCCTTTACTCCCTTCACTCCTCTAGACACTAAAGTCCCAACTGTGACATCGGGTACTGTTTATAAGCTGATATGATCAAAGTCATTAGCGGGAACATGTGAGAACCAAGCAAACTACGGAGAAGTGCTGCCAGCGAGCCTTCATCGCGAACTTCTCAAAGGCGCCAATGAAAAGCTCAATGGCCTGAGTGAACCCGTCAGAGTTTTTTTCCACTCACCCCATGTCTGACAGGGGCACCCATTGTTGGTGCAAGCTGGTAGGGATCAACATAACATGAGCATCTCTTGAGTGAGTCCCATAATATACGAAGCTTGCATCATGTGTATATCTGGGTGCATCTCGCGATGGGAAGGCTGGGAAGACCTGCCAAATCAAGGGGTTTGTTTGTGACGAATTACCCTTTCCGCAGCACGCTGGCACCGCCCAGGAAGGAACCATCCTCTCGCCTCCTGTTGCATCTCCGGATGATCACTCAAGGGATCTGCAACAATGCCTTGGAACGAAAATGGTGTTGCTACTGTCAATGGCTGAGGCACAGGATCTTCATGATTGGCACTGAATGGATTGTATCTCCGGCGGTGCTGGATTTCATACTTCAGCGGCCCAATGAAACAAAGAATGCTCTGCAGCTTCTCACGGTGCTGCAGCTTCTCGACGAAGCAAACAGTCCATGCCAAGCAGTTGTGATGCAAATGCTGGTGGTGCGATAGGTGTAAATAGCCTTGTTTGCATTGCAGCAAATAGTATCTCTTGATCTCTCTGAGTGCAGGATGCTTCCTGCTTCAATCAAATCTGGTCTCAGGCACCCACTGTCACAACCCACCAGAATAATTTGCTTGACCTCAAAAGTCTAGCTTGGCTGGTGCTTTTTCAGCGGTGATGATGGCTTCAAGTCATGTTGATGCTTCTTCATCTCCAAACAAACATGGGCATGGCTGCTTCAATCGGAAACAGGTTGTACTCCGTGACTCCCCTGGCACCAGTTGGTTCCTCCCAACTGTCTTGAGGCCTCGCTTAGCGGAACCTCTCATCTTCGATCCACCACGCCTCTGCATAGTGCTTCATGCAGAAGATGCAAATGTGTGGGTTCCGCTCGAAGAGGGCTTGCAGCGTCTCACACGCCTCACCGAGTGCGGTTTGAAGATCGGAAAAGGTCTCTGCTTGGCGTCTCACCGTGATGAGTATGGTGCACACCCGCCCATCTGCAGGTGAAACGACTGGTCGATTGGCCAGCAAGCCAGTCGTGCGCACCCCCAACCCGGTCCTTGCCTTTTGCACCAGGGAACTTGGTGGTGGCTGTCGCCTCAGACCCCATGCAGCCATGCTACCGAAATCCGTCGACCGGACCGTTCATATCGGTGGACATCATCGCTGGGCTCCCAGGCAACTCGACACCAGCAGAAGGTGCATCAATGAGTTCGGCCAGCACATCCACAACACCTGCGACATGTTTTGTTTGCATGTTTTTGCGTGGGAGGCTCCTCCTACGTCAAAACAAACAATCACTGGACTCTTTAGGAGTGGCACAGCGTGTTTTGATATTTTTCATTTGTTGTATCGAAGCGCGAAAAAACACGACTTCACCTTCCAACCAGGGTAGACGCATTTCAGCCTGCTGAAGCAAGCCGCACGGGTGCAGCACCCGGGTCCAGCACGTCAGGCCCCTGTCACAGGAAGAATGTCAAGCAGGGTCACACTGGACACCCCTCCTATTCTCAAGAATTCATAAGGATTCTGGTCCATGTAGCTGCTTGCATGGTAGGCTTCATAATGCAATTTTGGGAATCTGGTGTCCCTATCCAGTAGTCTACAGTTGTAAGAAGTGAGATAGCTGTGCATCTTTCATCAGCATCACCAGCTTTTAATGCATCCTCGTGCCTTTTGTGGTGCAGCCAGCTTCGTGCAAGACCAGTGAGATCTCAGGAAAAGATCGACAATGAGTGCAGGGCCAAAAAGGGGCTGTGTGCTGATCAAACATAAGGAATGGTCTCTACAAGCCTCTGCCTCTTTTGAAAAATTACTATGAGGTTGGAGGCCGTCGCTATTAGGTTGGATTCGGCACCCTTTTAACGCTTGGGCTCCCACTCGTTAGGCGAATTAGGTGAATCAACGATCCGCATGAATCTGTCATGTGTAGACTCGGAGTCGTGATGTGGTTTGTTCGTTCACCAGGGAGCCAGCAATACGTGCAAACACACCTCAGGTGCAGAGGTGTGGGTCCGTTTGCACAAAATCTGACTATTGATGTCAGCCGTGTGCAAATCAATGAGACTTCTTGGAGGCGCTCTCACTGCTCCAAAATATTCTGAGATGCCAACTTCCAAACAGTACGTGATGTAAGACCTGAGTGCCAGCCTTCCAACAGAGCTCCTGCAAAATCCCATATTAATGCAAATAAATGATAGATAGACAGAAAGATAGATAGACAGATAGATAGATAGATAGTGAAAACGAGGTTTCGACGTTACGGAACGCCTTTTTCCCTTGAGCCAAAATACGTCAAGAGTCACGTGTCTGCAGTACCTATAGCGGAGTATATATGGGCTGTACATACAAACACTCCTCCTCTTGCAAAGCACTGTACTGCTGCGCAAGCATAAAAAGTAAACATGTGAAACTCTTCGCTGCTTAGCCACTTTCAGTTGTGGTAGTGGAGCTTGGCCAGGGACCTTACTCCAAAACATCTAACTGTCCTTTGCTTCGCCTGCTGAGGAATGCATACTGCAGGTCCTCCATGGTTTTGCGAAGCTGCACCCCAGGAACCGACTTGGTCAAAACATCGGCTTTGTTCTTGACTCCTGGAACGTGGTGCACCTTCAAGTGGCCTTCGGCAACCCTTTCTTGCAACCATAGGTAGCGAGTTTGGATGTGTCTGGCTTTACCCAAACCCACTCTATTCACAGTTCCTTTGGCTGCATTGGAATCGCCTTCGATGGTGACTCCCAAATTCAAACCAAGGTCTGCGCATAGGCTTTGGAGGCCTAAGCCCACAGATCCTCCCTTCACAAGTGCGTAGTATTCACTCTCACCTGTAGAAAGGGCTATAGTGGATTGGATGTTACTACTGTGTTTTAACACGCGCATGCCGTACATAGCAACCATGCCAGTCGTGCTTTTGCGTGTCACAGCGTCACCACCATGGTCGGCATCGACCTGCACCCTCAGCCTTGAGGGCGTCTGCTGCGAACCAAAACATTGCCCAACATCAGGATATTTCTTCAAGTACCTGATGAGACGCTTCAAGTCAGCAAGTTTGGCTTCTGTTGGTGATACCATACCTCGAGCAAGGTTCTTGACTGCGTGCCCAATATCAAGTCGATCTTGGGACAAGTACGCAGCACGCATCGTTGCTGAACGATACTTTGATGCCTCGCTCTTATCAAGCAGCGGACTGCGGCTTTCAAGCATCTGCTGATCTGCCGACTTCTCGACATCTGGTGATTCTACACCATTTGCCTTCTCCAGACCAAATGCCTGGATCAAAAGATCAACATGTCTCCGATCGGCTTCGATCACAATCGATCCTTTGCCGTTCTTCTTATCAACTCGGATTAACCGATTCAGAAAATGAGCTTCTGTTCGGTCTCCATCCTCGTCTCCAAGAATTCCGAGACATTTCAGCTCATAGGCATCTTTGAGGACTTGGCTGAGCTTCTCCAAGTGTTGGGCGTCTCCAAGCGCTAGGAAGTCATCTCCATGCACCATCACTCTGACGTCCCAAGCTTCTTGGTAGAAGACTGACGCATTTGACAAGCCTCTGCGGAAACCAGCTTTCTGCAGAGTCTCTGTGTAGTGCGTCTGCCAGATATTTGGAGCGTCCTGTGTTCCATACATCGACTTCACAAGAAGTCCACAGGTTTGTCCATCTTTACTGGCTTCGTCCTCAGGTGGCAGCTCTATGTAGATCTTTCTCTTTGGAGTTCCATAAAAGTGTGCTCGTGAGATGTCCCACAAGCCCAGCTTCAGCGGCTGGTTGTGGCAGGACTTTCTCTTTGTTGCCCACAACGAGCACAGCAGTCTCATCGCCTCCAATGGTGGCGTGCTGCTGAAAAGCAAGTTGGCTGGCAATTGTTCTTCTTTGGTCTTTCTTGCCTTTATCTCACGCACAACTAATCGGCTCCTATAGTTCGGGTTTGTTGGATCTCCCTTGTTGGTGTCCAACCATCTGACTGGAATCGGGGGCTTCCCCGTTTCCTCAAAACATTCGGCTCTCGGCCGGGTCACATAAACACCATGCTTTTCTTTCAAATAATTCATTTCAAGGCGTCTTGCCTCTTTCACTTTCTCGGCTGGCAAAATGCCGCCGTTCACATCATCCATGTAAATCTCTTCGAACTCAGGTTCCATCAGAGGCATCTCTGGAACTGGGCCTGCTGCAAACAAATCAAAGGCGTTCAACTCACCTTTCTCAGCTAGTGTATCACGCAGGCTCCTTAGCACTGCCTTCACGAGCGGCGGTGGGTATACCGCTGCTTGCCTTGCAATACCTCCGATCAGATGGATGTGTCGGTGCCATGGTCCTTTGCCCGACTTGTTCGAGCAGACTCCTTGCAAGACTCTGGCTAACCCTTCGTCGTTGGTCATCCAACCGGTCTCCTTTCTCACATAGCCAGTGCCTTGGAGTCCTCTTCGGTCGGTGGCCATCATTTGCCACCTGCACATTGGACCCTTTACTATGAACACTCCATCTTCCTCTGCTAAGGCCGCGACTTTCTCATCCTTCCAACTAGTCGCAGACCAAGGTGCCTCATGGAGGAATTTTCTCCCTGAGCGATGCTGCTTGACATACAGCTCCACACTCGTATGGAGATGGTGGACGGCTTCGTCCATCTTCCTCCTCCGGACATCCGGTGCCATACTTCTCCAGTTGAGGTTCTGGAGCTGTGAGAACATATGGCACGGTGGCGAACCAGTCAAAAGTGCCGGTTCGTCCTTCTCAAGGATGTCGTGCACCTCTTGAACATCTTCTGGCTTGTTCAAGTCCCAGTATGTTCCGTCACTTTTCATTTCATTCAAGTCGACCGCAAAACCCGGTCGCAACTTGTAGCGCTCTGCAAGCGCAGTGAACCTTTTGGGCGAGTAGATCTCCATGATATCTACTGCTGACATCTGCATGCTCAAATGAGCGATGTCCCCGATCTCTTGCTCAGAGATCTCAATGCCATTCGCCTCATAGGTTCCTTGAATGATCTTCTTCAGATGCTGCTTTGCGATCTCCTTCTCTTTTACCAAGCTGGCTGCATCTGGCCTCCACCCTGCTGGTGGTGTTTCTGGAACATGTGAAAACTGAGACGTTTTCTTCGGACTCTCTTCCACTCTGGGATCAAGGTCTTTTACGGCGGTCTCTGCGGACCTCTTTGTTCCTTGAACTGGATTCGGCTTGACCTTTGCCCCAGGTGGATCTATCCGAAGTTCTCCTGTTCTCTTCTTGGGCTCTGTTGCTACCTTGGCTTTCGCCACTGGCTTCTTCTCTACCTCGGCTGCTTGCCTCTTCATCTCATATCTCTCTTTCGGGTCATCGGGATAGGTTTTCTCACCTTCTGCTGCTGCTGGCGGTGAGCTTCCCGACCCTGCGCTCTTTGCATCTTCCTTCTTCTCTGGTTCCCCAGCCGCGTCTTCGGCTGGGATGTCGGAGTCCTTGTCGGCCACGACTTTCGGCTTCACAGTGTCAAGCTGTTGCCGTTCTTTCCTCTTCTTTGCATGGGCTTCAAGTCTCGCTTGCCCTGCTTCGTCCTTTTCCATTGCTTCGGTGATCCTTGCTCTGCGCGCCTCTGTGTGCGGCAAGGTCGTCCTTTTGTCTTCCAAGATGCACTTGCATCCTGGGCAGCCTTCTGTGGCTCCATGCTTGTGCACATCCTCTCTCCTGATGTACACCCGCCTCTGTTGCGGTGGCGCCACTCGTTCCTCCTTGGGAGGTGGTACCACAAGGCGCTCTTCGAGCATCAGCTGCTCGCCGGCAGGCCTTGCCGCGGAATGCTCCCACGGTAAGCCCCGCAAAAGGTCCCAATCACTTGGGTCCCAGCGGTCGGCTGAACTCAGCCGCCGGATTCCTGTGCCTCTTCGCACGCCATTGGCCGTCATCACCAAAATGGATCCTGTTCGGCCATGGTGTCCTACATAGCGTCCTTCTTTCAGGCTGCGAACTCCCTCGCCTACTTCCCTAAAGTATAGGCGTTCGCCAAAGGCTATGGCAGGTTTCCGCCATTGCTTTCCACATCTTCTGGCCTCAGGCGTTCTGCCATCTTGACCTTTCTTGTACCTGCTCAACAGGTCTCCTGCCTGTCTTGGCAGCCATGCCAATGCAGGGTCATCATCTTTGAGCTCTTTGCCGAGCTTCTCTTCCAACGCGCTGCGGAGGACTCGTACTTGTCGTTTGACCTCCTTGCAGGCGTTCTCTGCCAGACCATTCGCTTGATGGTCTCCTACTGGCGACTCTTCCGAAACCCAGTCTATGCCGGTTTCTTTCGCCGCTGCCTCTTTCAAGGCTACCACTGATGGCTCACCATCTGACTTGAGAACCACCTTGCGGTGTCCCAAGTTCTTCAGGAAGTTCGCCACGAACTTCACTGCATACGGCGTCGCTCCCTTCGAGTCCACGAAGGTCGCCGCTAAGGACTGTGTCCTCTCATCCTTCACTACGAGGATCGGCTTCACTCGCTCGTCCTCCACACCGCCCCGTGACATGAACGTGTAGTCCATTGCCACTGTGGGCACAAGGCTCTTGGCCTTCTCTTCCTCGGACCTTGTCCGATGTGGCTGTCCCACAGCCCGTCCAGCAATGCAATGCCGGCACCAACTTCGATACTGCACATGGCCTGTCGCCTCGTGCTCTTCTATCTCAGCCGGAGTTGGGTCCTCCGGTGCTCTTATCTGGATGGGTTTCTCAACCTCATCAACTAATTCCAACTCATCATCCTCTTCTCGCCCCTCTGGACCAGGTCGGCCTGAATCCAGAGAGGCATCTCCTCTCTCTCCTGTGGCGTTCAACTCTGCGATGCCACAGCATTCCTTTGTCGGTTTATACCCTGGCTTTCTCAAGTAGAAGTTGTATACTCCCTGTTCCTGATACACAGGGATCCAACTCCGCTGCTCTGCAGCGTTCGCTTTCTCCAGGATCGCCTGGACAGCCTTTCCAACTTTAGACCCTTGCGGAATCAAGTTTCCGCCTTTTGCATCGAGAACTGCAATCCTTCCAAAGCCTAAGCACTTGGATGCTGAAATCAATGGCGTATGAACATCAGCCATTGAACCTTTCACACGGCATTTGTTGCCGCTCTCGTCGAACCCTTCAAAGGTTCCAATGCCCTGACTGGGCACCAACTCTCCTGATGCAGTCTTGAACACAACTCCGTTACCTTCACTGACAACCACTCGATCCTCCCAGCCATTCGGGATGGCTGTCTGGGCTGCTCCAGTGTCCAGGTTAAACTTCATCCATTCTTCGGCGGATGAGGTATCCGCCATTCCAATTCCACTCAAGTCTGCCATGAGCATGCCGACATCGGCTTCCGGAGCTGGCTCAATGCCATCATCCGGTTCGTCCATCTCTTCCATACTTCCTGCGGCTTTGCCTTTGCCGCCTTTTCCACCTTTGCCTTTGTTGCCTTTGCCACCTTTACCACTCTTGTCTCCTTTGCCTGAACCTGACCGCTTATCGCCTTTTCCATCCGGCCGTTTCTTGCTCCAGCAATCGGCCGCTCGGTGTCCTTTCTTACCGCAATTGTAGCAGGTAATATCTTGAGCCTTTACTTGAACCCCCTTTGCTTGAGCCTTTCTTTCCATCACCTTTGGCCTGTTTACCTTTTCCTTTACCTTTTCCTTTGACCAGGCTTGCGATCCATTGTCCGATCGAATCGACGTCCATGGGTTGAGGTCCTTGGTAACTTGAACTTGATGAACCTGGTTTTGGAACAGATGACTTTGATGTGAGGGATGTTTCAATGACAAGTTCAATCTCCTGCTTGATCGACGAATAGGTTGTCAATCTACTCTTGTTCAACAAAAGATGTTTCTCTAGATCTGGGGGTACCAGCATCTCCAATGAAGCGGACTTGATGTCGTCCGATAGGGTTTCCCTAATCCCTGCGGCACTCCTCCGGGACTCGTACCGCCTGATGAGCTCTTCGAGCTGTTCGATCGCTGGCCTCACCGCGGCCCATGTCTTGACCCTCTCCGGTTGGAGAATCGCTCGAAGTATATTGCGTTTCCGTCCCGAGGTTCGGGGATCCCAACGGCGGTGAACTCGCCGATATGCTTCAAACCCATTTGAAGCTCCTACCATCAAATCCTCTGTTTCACCCGAGGTCAGGGTCAGGAGCACGCGATGAATTTGGTCAGCTTTATCCTCCAAATCATCGATAGCTGCTATGGTTCCAGTCCCAAATGCGGACTCCATAGCACTCATTTCAATCGCGTCTTCCTGCTCCAAAATATACTCCAGGACTTCAATGAACTCTCTCCCAAAAGTAGTTATGAACAGGTTATCAATGCTCCTGGCCCATTTCCGAAAATCCCCTTCAACATTTCCAAAACTTTCGGGGCGTCCTAACCCTTTGGTGTCCATGAGGATTTGGGACTTCTTCCTATCATCTTTCCTCTCAAGGCTTTTAGCCAATTCTCCTACAGCTGAAGCTAGCATTGATACCCCACCTTGAGACTCCCTCAACACTTGATTCTCTTGCTCCAACCTCGCTTGGTTCTGTTGGAGTTGAAGTACCATGTCACTCAATTGTTGGATCTGTTGTTCCATGGTTTCCTGCCCTCAACCCCCTGATGCTGCTGCCGCTCACTCCTTTTCCAGCGGCAGTCGCGGGCGGTTCGCCCGGTCAAGGATCGGAGGGTTTTGGTACCCCGCGAACTTCAACAGTAGTTCGCGTGAGTTCCTCCGGGCGACGACCCACAGTTGTGGCCTTCGCTTCAGCCGCTACTTTTGGCGCGGCGGATGGTTTGGCCTTTCCTTTTGGTCCGGCCTTCGATTTGGCCTTCACTTTCGGCCCAGGTGTCAGGCTCACAGCCGGCGCCGCTTTGGACTTGGCGCTCGATCCAAGCGCGGCAGGTCCCTTAAGTCCTCGCCGCTTGATGTAGTCCTTCACCGCCGGCAGCTGTGCCTGCCGCCGTTCGTCGCAAGAACTACAGGCCTCGTTGGATCCTCTCTTTCCTTGCTCGTTGGGGGTCTTCCACAATTCGCGAATGGCGGCCAATGCAACGGTACCCTTGAGATTCCGCTGCTCGCAAAGTTCGTCGGCCGCAAACTTTCGCACTTGGAACGGGCTCTCCAATTTCCAATTTTCTATCGTCAATCGCTGGGCCCGTTCGTTGGCTAGGGCGATGATGCGGAGGTTCAACTCCAGTGCACGCCCCCAGACCGCCCGTCCCCGCTGAGTGTCGCGGGTTTGCGGTCGCTTAGCCGGCGGTGGCCCGTCCGGTGTTCGAGGCTGTCGAACCGGACTTGGATGGCTCACCGACTCTTCTTCTTCTTCGACCTCCTCCTCCTCGGCTGGATCAGCCGCTTCTGAGGTCTTCCTTTTCTTGGCCCGCTTCTCTTGATTGCGGACCTTCTGCTCTTCCCGCTCTTCTTTGATCTCTTGTGGAGTGCGCCCCTTTCCAAACTCTTTGATGCGCCTCCTCAGATCCTCTGTGATGACACCCTTCTTCTTCTCCAGCCTGACCAGGTCCTTGAGCCTACGGTACTGAAGCGAAGTCTTGCTTCGAAGTCGAAATCCGGATTGTGGCTCTGGATGCTTCTTGACCTGTCCCCAGATGTTCTTCTTTACCCTCCAAGGTGCTTTGGGATCAACTTTGGCTGGGGTATATTTGGCGTGGATGCCACGAACCTCCCAACCTGTTTTGACACCTTCTGGGGAGGTTTGGAAGTCGGCGATCACTCGGCCAGATGAGGATGGCCGTGCGGCTGGATCAGCCGCTTCAGCCTCTGGCTCTACTATGGGGTCTTGTTCAGGCTTTTCTTCTTCTCCTCCTTCTTTCTCTTTTGTGGTCTCTTCTTTTGTTTCCTCTTCTTTTGTTTCCGCGGTTCCTTCAACCGCTGATGTTGTTTCGGCAGTTTCTACAACCGCCGGAGTGGTGTTTGCGGCTGGTTCCGCCGCTGATGTGGCTGGCAAAGGCTCTGTCTCCTCCTCTTTTCCTTTTCCTCCTTCTTCTTTTCCACTCGGGGCGGCAGAAGCTGCCGCTCCCGAGATTCCCAGCTCCTCCTCCTCGGAGCTCTCGACTTTACTATGTCTTTCTTCCTTTATGCGCAGCGCTTTGTCCCTGTCACTTTCACCGGACTCGTGCGCTACCATGAAAACGAGGTTTCGACGTTACGGAACGCCTTTTTCCCTTGAGCCAAAATACGTCAAGAGTCACGTGTCTGCAGTACCTATAGCGGAGTATATATGGGCTGTACATACAAACAGATAGAAAGATAGATAGATAGATAGATCGATCGATAGATAGATAGATAGGTGTTGCTCGTAGCGGTGCCCTTAGCTACTAGTAGCTTCTCTAGTAGCGTTTGGGTATGATCATTGCTTCTTCGAAGGGCCCATGTGAGGGCCTTCTAGGACCCTCCGGCCCTCCTCCTGAGTCCAGGGCCAGCCGTCCGCTGGCAGCTTGTCTTCTGCCAGGAGACCAAAGGCGACCTGTAGCGGTGCAAACTCGTCCGGTGCAGTCGGCAACCGGTGCCGGATTGCGTCCCGGCAGATGAAGCTTTGGGAATTTTGTTTCGAATGCTTCGCCGAAAAACGTGGGCGTAATGACTTCCGCTTCCGGTTTGGAGCTACCACCTCTTTCATCCTGTTCCCGGCTTCTCCCACCTCCACCTCTGTTGTGCTCGGAGAATGCTCCAGCTCGTAGCCCCGCAGCAGCATCTGGACCAGGACAGGACAAATGTGGTTTTGGGCCCACTTCGGAATCGCGAAAGTAGGAAGTTTGTTGAATCAACCGCCGGGTATTGCAAAAATAAACATCATGTGACGTGGATGTGTCCAATTCATGAACCAATCATGCAAGTCGCATATTATATCATAGCTTGGAGAAATAGAGGCTTGGTCCAACCCATACGGTATGGATGCTGGAATGTGTTGTGGAATGGAAACTCTCACGGCTTCGCTGATTTCGATGCTGACCAAGCCCTATCGCAGAAAGCCCACTACCTGCCTGCAGGCACGTGACCATTACAACAACGACGTTGTTCTCGGAGTAGTTCACTGCCAATTGCAACCTGGCCCACACCGCAAGTGGAAGTAGAATTGCGTGGATGTGAAGGGCATCCACGGCCAGCCATGGCCCCAGCCGTGGCAACACCATGCCTCAACTGCGCGTTGTTGTGCACAGCAGCCAGCGCCTGTTCAGCACGTCAAGCTAGCGCTGTGTAGCACGTGCACCGCGTGTGGAATGGTTCCCACCGTGGTTCCACCCGAAAAGGCCCCGACGATGCGCACCAAGACTTCCGACTCCTGAAACTCCTGACAGTTCCGTCCAGGCGCAACTGATCGAAGGGAGTAGGCATTGGAGGTGTGTGTGTTGAGATCAGGTGATGGGTCAGGTTATGCAACTGAAGATCTCCAAATGAGACAGAATGACTTTTCTGTGGACGTTTTCTTTGAATTCTCTGAAGACATGTTACGTGTGGTGATGAGATCAAAAGTCGGGCCACTGGCAGGGGGTTTGCAGTGTCTGCTTGGGTCACCCCAGCGGTCTGTGTCTCCTCCATCCGCTCAAGGAGGCGTCCAGGCAGCAACTTCACAAGGACCCCTTGCATGAGCATTGCGGCCTCGGGTAGGACCAAGTCCTGAAGTTCCTTCTTCAGCCTTTAAGCGCTTTAACCCACTGTAAGGGTTTCACCACAGAAATCGACGCCAAATATGTAATGTATTTGTCATGGCTCGGCCATACAATCATTCCGCATCGCCACCAACCCGCCCTCGTTTTGTGGCTGGGGCCACCTGCTTTCTTGAGCACTGCTAGAGAGCTGCTCTTGCTGGGCTCAGGGTCCTGGCAGCACCGCAGCGCCTTTTCAGAGACTTCCCACTCCAAACTTCCAAACTCCGCAACTCTTGAACATCTACATGGACCCAAACGTGGTTCCAACATGGATTGACCTGGGGTCGGGGTCATCACCCTGTCTAAAATCTTCAATTCTTGTTGGTTCAAGTCATCTTGGCACCAAGCCTCCAGCGTCTGCCGTTGGTGAAATGCCCAGAGTGACATGACCTCCAGGCAGCTCTTGTGTCAACAAAAGCCTTCCGCTGGGAGACCAGGTCTTTGGGTTTCGATGATCATTTCTTGGACTTCAAGATTCTGAACTCATCAACTGCTCCCAGCCCGCTCGCAGCCTGGTTAGAAGGAAACCTTCTTGGTCCACGGACCAACGGCCATGCCACGTCTTTCGTCTCCCGCCTTCCTCTCCCCCCACAGTTCCAAACAGTCCGCTTCGCCTTGGAAATCACGTCGAAGTCCGCGTCCAAGCGGCGGAAGGTGCCCCTCCTCTGTTGCTCCAGGCTCTGAAGCTCCTCCAGAACCTCCGAACGGATTCACTGGATGACCAGGCGAGGTGTGAGATGAGGTAAGGCGTAAGGCTGAGTAAGGTGATTGATGATCGGATGCGAGACCAGTGTCCATCTTCAGAACGCATGTGCCATGTCGATGGATGCTATTAGGAGCTTCTTGTTACTAGAAGCAAGAATGCTCCTAGTAGTGATGCCAGGAGCCCCTAGTAGCGTCCTTGCTCCCAGTAGTAATGCCAGGAGCCCCTAGTAGCTTCTTGTTACTGTCTGCTTGTGGAATCAATCTGCATCTCGCCATGTCTCGCCATGGGGCGTCGAAAGGTGGTTTGCGCCCGGCGAAGAGAGCCGCCTCGATGCAAACGAAGGTGTCTCCCACAAAGGCATCGCTCAAAGCCCACGAGCAGAGCTCCAGATTTCCGCTGAACCTCCACATGGCACCATGCAGTCTTGCGACCCTAAAGTCGATTGAAAGAATAGTAAAACAGTGTAGGTTGGGAAATGTTGGGAATAGCTTTCCTATCTACGTCTTGTACCATGTTCGCCTGATCCAACCCAGAGATCACTATCAGCAACAGCTTCCAACTCCCACAAGAGCCTTAGCCTAGATCCGATATTGCGTCCCCTTGACCTCACCCCTTGGTCCCCATGCACTCCACGAATGGCACTCTGCACTGCCTGCACAAAAAAGTACCAGAAGATCTGAGATTGCTTGGTGCAATTGCCATGAAAGACATCCAAATCACTGCTACAATTAGTTATCACAAGATATCACAAGCATATCGCGGTCACATGGCCCTCTGTTTGACCGTGCCTTAGACAAGGTGGCATCTTGCAAATCTCCCGACTCGGCTCCTGACCCGGAGACCCCGAGATGTGAATTCGTGGACTTCACGGCCCGACGTGTCTCTTGGACTTCTTCAAACCGAAACGAATCGATATGAGTTGGGACACTGTTTGGTCATCCTTGTGGTGTTTTTGGTCGTCTTGTTCGACCCTGTTCCAACACCATCCACCACACGGACGACCAAAAAATGATGGTCAGAAAAAGCCGCACCTCTTTTGGAGGCAACGCGCTGTCTCACCAGTGCGAAGGAGTGTATGGCCCCGCTCTCCAAACACATCTGCGGTGCGTTTTTGGCCCACAAAGGAGGAGAACAATCGGTTTCTGGATGTTTCTGGTATGATGACAACATCACTCGCACATTCAACTCGAGCTTATAACTTATAGCGAAACATTGCTACGTACGTGAAGGATTAGTAAGAAGATGAGAAGGACCTCGTGGATCTTGGTGAAAACCTAAAGGGTGGAACATGTTGGAACTGTGAGTTGCACTCTGGGTGCAGCACCTGCTGAATCCATGTCTCCATGGGCAGCAGCGGCAAAAGCTGCACGCTTTTCAGAATCAACGCCTCGAGAATCGAAAGAGGCTCTTTTCATGTTTCAACTGTTCCTCTTAAGCAGCGAACAGAATGGACTAGCAGGGGATGTTCAGCTGTTGGCTAGATGTGCACCTAAACTGACCTACGGTAATTAGGTGGTCAATCATGAGGCATTCCTATACTGTCTCCTCTCTTTATACGTATGATCTGCTGCTGCACTGGCCTCTGAAGGCAACTCAGAGGCGGCGAGAAGTCGACTCACCACGCCCTGGTCGTGGTGTGAAAAACATGTTGGGATGTGAGCCAGCTTGCAAGTTGCTGCAAGTAGAAGATGTCAGAAGTCTACTTTGACAAGGAGTTTGACACAAAGAGACATGATCCCGAGTGTTGAGCTCAAAAAAGGAGAACTAGATCCAAGATGATTCAAGGGGATTCAAGGCATCTCAAGGCCAGCCACACAGCTGTCTTCCAAGACCAGTGCAAACAATTCAGCTATATACGCACTCTCTCGAGTCGATCTCGGTGCAGGACGTGCATCAAGCTATGGACAAAGGCCTGGAAACGCGAACGGCAGATTGGGATTCATAGAAACTCCAACGACCACGAATCACCCTGCTCCAAGCAGGAAACTGCTCCAAGCACCAAGCAAATCATCACCAATCATTGGGACTGCAAGGGGGATCAAGGGGGTCCTCATGGGTCCGTAGGAGTATTTTCCCCATCGATTTGCTTTGACATGCTTTGACTCATCCACGGAGATCATTGGATTCTGCTCCGGTCCTCGCTTTGCTGCCTTTGCCGTAGCCAGGTCTCCAGGCTTGGCCTCAAGAAGGTGATCGGTGGGACCGGGCGAGGAAAGGGAGGAAATCGGATCTGATCACCCTGGAACACTCTGGTAGCGAAAAGGGAGCCAATTGAATCTGGAGCCCGGATGCCTAACAGGTTTTTTAGCATGAATGACAAGTGCCTATCATCTCCCATCGTTGCGAGCAGTGCAAATCTTGACTCACGGCTGATGGCCATCTCCAAGTGCAGCGCAGCAAGAGCGAGAGAAGTGACAGCAGCCACGTGAAGAGTTTCGTGGGGCTGGGTCCTGCCTGCAATCAAGGGCCAGGCGACACAAATCACAAGAAGCGTCTTGAATCTCGACTCCCTAGTGCACTGCAAAGTATTGATTTGAGAGCGTTCCGCCTGCAAAGTGCAAGGACTTGAGGACTCCAACCCGGGCCTGGTAGCCGGCTTGCGCCAGACTGCTAAGCCCAGCCGTCTTCTCCAGAAGTGTCGTGCTTGCACCAAGGACAGCCTCCAACATGTCGAAGGCAAACAGATTGGAGCTCTCAAAATGCAAAACCGTTTTCAACAGAGAATCTTTGTACCATCTTGGGAACAAAAAAACAAACTAATGACATCTAATGACCATGATTCCCCGCCCAGGGTGATGGTGGTCCAACCTTCGAACCCCTCTGATGTTGAAGCACAGAGGTGGATGGTGCTGGGGCACTGGAAACAAAAAGCGCCTGTGCGGTGCGCTGGAGCTGTGCCTGGGGCAGCAGCTGCTGCGCAGAGGGTTCCTCGAACTCTGCAAGACTGCCCAACCCCTCCCGGTGGAGAAAAAATGCGGTTCCAACTGCTCACATCTTCGAATATTTGACTGGTTGTGACAACAAGCGACACTTGTTTTCTTCAATGATTGGAGCATGTCACGCCACGGCGGCTACGGCTTCTGCAGCTTTCGCCAGGCGCTTTCGCTCGAGTGGCTTTAAACTAAGAGCATCAGCGAAGTCATCCGCATTCTCCACCACGTCATCGATGCTCGCAGCACCTTGCTCATCGCACCAGTCAAGGGCTGGCTGCAGGTATTTGGAGAGGCGAGCACCTTCCAAAAATTTCTCCAAGTCTGCTTCCAGCATTTCTTCTTCGACGGATGCATCCTCGTTGTCAATGCCATAGAACTCAGCAATGGCTTTGAGCAAGCGCTCAGCTCCCCAGTACTGGTTCTCTTGGATGCCAGGGACATCCGAACGAATGCGGAGGTCAGCAATCGCTTCATACTTGTCTCTGTATTCGTTGACCTTTTCCACATACTCTGCCTTGGCTTCCCCATCATCGATGTCTCCATCCCAGCCACTGGCGATACACCAAACAGGTGGCCGGACCTTCTCAAAACGAACATAAAGTCCGCCACCGGCTTTTGGCCTGATCTGTGTCCTGCTCCAGCTGGTTTCTGCGGACACATCAACCCAAATCACCAGGCCTTTCTTCAAAATCTCCAGATTTTCGGGTGTATCTACTGCACTCTCACCTACGACGCAGCCCGCCGGCATGGTGCCAGTGTCTTCTTCTGAGAACTTCTTCAGGACCTCGGTTTCAATCTCCCGGTAGCGCTTCTCATCTTCCATGTAGAGGTCCACGGATGAAATGTCCGACTCCCGCGCCAGCGCCTCATCGCTGTTCACGAAGAAATAGACCAGCTTCGGGTACTCGACCCCTGGCTTCCGGCGCAGGAACATTGTACCATCAGGTGCTGGAACATAAGCCAGGCTATCCATCAGAGCCTCTGCAATGAGCTTCCCTGAATTACCATTGGTACCAATGAAGTAGATCTTCTTGGGCACATCGTCCCTTTTGAGCATTGTGGTCCAGAGTTTCCTGCCAGCCAGCATAATGTCCTCATAACGTTGAGCATATTTTCGGCCAGCCGCTGAGAGCTCTGGAGAAACGTTATTCACCGGGTCAGTACCTCCACCGGGGCCAAGCCTCATAGGCTTCAGGCCCTCTCTGGTCTTGGGCTGGCACCCGGCCAATCGGAAAGCACCATGGCCAGTGGAGGAAAGCCTCGCAGTGAAGCACCACAGTGGTCCCAAACCACAAAGTGCTACAAGGCACCAGCCCAGGTGCGACCTGGCCATCGGCGGAACCCCGCAAACACCGGGGACCCGACCCGCGCGGGTCGCGTGGGCGCGGGTAAGCCTTTAAGCAGCTGCGATGGTCGTTTCAGCCTTCGATCTGTGCATTCAAAAGAGTCCAGCTTAGGATACGCAGTTGAGCAATCATTCGGCCAAGGTCACGGCTGCCAGCAGCACCGACAGAAACTGTGATGCCTCAAACATATAGATCAATTCACTGAACTGACAACAAATAAGGTTAGGAATTGTCAAACATAAACACATGGAACTTCCCACAATCCCACACCGCTCAAGATAAGATACTTCTGCGGGTACCCAATCCCAATCACCTGTAAATTGTAGATTCATCTCGCCCCACAAACCCGGTTACCTCACAAAAAAAGGAACACACCAACGGAAACGCGTCTCCTTCGTTGTGCGATCATGTGGCTCTGAAAGGCGAGAAAACAGGTCGTTTCCTGGCGGTGTCTGTCCTCGTTTCAACGCCTTCAGCAAGAGGGTCCAATTGCTTTGGTGGTGGACGAAAATGGCCACAGCCGCCTACGAGCCGGGCGAGAGTCGGTGCCATGTTGGAAGAACGACCAACTCAAACAGGAAATTCGGTGTTAAAAAAATGCAAAAAAAAAGTAAAGCTCCAAACCAGCGGGTAAAATAAGAAATCGGTGAGCTCAATACACTGCTTGGCTTCACTCCGGGGTTGACCGATCCATACTCGGCAACCACTTGTGAGAGGGGACTGTCCCGTGATCCTTCTTTAAATTCTTGTCAATCAAATTACTTAATCATCTTTATTAAAGAATGCATGTTTTGTTGTTGATTGGATTATTCTGCAGATGATTCTGGATTCTTGGTTGTGGTTTTCTTCAAGAAACCCCAAAAAGAAACGCCAAAGAAGCGTCGTTCTTCGTCCGTGCGGAACGCCTCGAGGCTCTGATGCAGCTGGGGTGTTGACTCCAGCTGAGCGGCACCCGCCTGAAACATGGCTGGTTCTGGGAACATGGCTAGGCTGGGAAGTTATGAGAAGCCATGGCTAGCCTGCCGCAAACCTAGGCTGTTCCCTAGCTGGTTCTGGGAAGAAATTCTGACCTCTGAGCTATGCGCTACTATATATGCGTTCGTGGTACTAGTATTGTACTCAGGTTCATCATGTGTTAAGATAATGGTGGAGTGTCGTTTGGCGGTATGATACACGTTGCAAACGCTCTATCAGGGGCGGTCAAGTATGGTGCTGGACGTCTTCAAATGCATCGTTTTGTTTGTACCCTGGGCTAGCGGCTAGGGCATGTCTACTTGTTACAAGGCCCTGAGAGCTCAGACGTAACCGCTTGTCTGAAGACAGAAGACACGATTTCTTTGCCAGTGGTTTGTGGGGTATCTTAATTTACATGATCACAAATGCCGCCCCGTCGAAAGTGCGCTACAGGTCCGAAAGTAACCACAGCGACCACCCAGCTCACCCCGGCGGCCCATTTTCACAGCCGCCACACCGCCAGTCGCCCGCCACTCCTGTGTTTGTTCCACGAAGAGCTGCTCGATCCCGGCAAGCTGGAGCGCCTCGTCCTCGAGACGCCAAGGAAGTCGTGTGAACAAAGGGATCTGGTACATCGGTGCATCAGTACTAGGAGCAAGGAAGCTACTAGGGGCTCCTGGCCTTACTACTAGGAACAAGAAGCTACTAGGGGCTCCTGGCATCGCTACTAGGAGCAAGGACGCTTGCAGTGAATGCCAATTCATATGTTCACTGCCTGGGGTTAAAGGGTCATCCAACCAAAACACGAGCCACATAGCTACATCTCCTAGTAGTGTCCTTGCTCCTAGCAGTAAGGCCAGGAGCCCCTAGTAGCAGCGATGCCCTTTGCTCCTAGTAGCGTCTTACTACATGGATGATCCTTTTTGCGGCCATCTCACAATGAGTCCTTTGTGAACCTATATTTCATGAGATTTCTGGCTGCGCTGCTCCTCTGGCGACCGCAACATTCCTGCCAGCACACCATGCAAACCATCTGCCTGCAGCATAAGCCCAAGTATCCTGTCCAATTGACCTCTGGTGTGTTTCTTTTGCGTTTCTCTCCGTCCTACAACTGTTCACCAGCATGTAGCTAGGCAGGTCAGGTAGACTACACTACCTCTACATACCTCTACCACAAGTATCATCTTCATTGCTATTAGGTTGGAGTTAGGTTGGAGACCATCGCTAGTAGGTTGGAGGCAATAGCTATTATTATTGCTAATTCCACAAGTGTGTATCATCTTCAACTGTCCAAAATACCCTGCAATTGACAGGGACCTCAGCAGGTTGAGACGTCGTAGACTCCTGGCGAGCAAAAGCAAGACCATGTCCGATCATCTGCTTAAAGGTCCAAACGCTCCTCCAAAAAATAAGCTTATGAGTTGGATATCAGGTAAACAGGGTCAAAAAAAAACCTTTACAGGTGTTCTGCCATGCTGTGCGGAGTAGTTGTTGATTCTTTTGCAGCTAGGTGAGGGCAGCGCGGAGCCTTAGGACGAAGCCTAAGGCGACCATGCTCGCCAGCCATACGACCAGCTCATGTCGTCGCTGTGCCTTCTCCGGCTCTTCCGTCTGCGTCTCGGCATCGCGCTTCTCAACCTTAGTAACAAGGGCATCGCTAGTAGTAACAAGGGCGTTACTACTAGTAGCAAGCAGCTACTAGTAGCTCCTGGCATTACTACTAGGAACAAGAAGCTACCGAAGACATGGCATTGGAGGTTGGTCGACACTTAGAAAGCCTCTTTCCCATGAGCCTTCGCCTCGAGGCACGGAAGACCTCGCTGGCTTCGCGCGGAAGACCTCGCCTGGTTCGCTTCTCCCCCGAGTTTTGCCACACGACTCTTCAAGAGTTCCACTTCTTCACCTTGCGACCGGTGAATCCAAAGGCAGAACTCAACGGGAAGACAAAACGGGCACTTTGCCCATCAACCCAGATCTACACCGAGCTTTAAAAAAAAGCATACCAAGAGTGACAAAGACTCGGTCCGGTACTACAGGATTGTGAGGTTTGGATGTTTTCAGATCTGCAAAACATCGTGGACTCCTGCCGAAAGTGGATTGAACGAACCTGCCGTTTCAGTGGAAGCGCCGAGGTGCCAGGCTATCTGCGGAAAAACGTTCCGCTGGGCCACCAGGCGTAAGCGGGAACGCTCCTCCTGCCATTCTGCGCGCTCCTGCAGAAAGAGTAAAGAGCCATCCATTCATGGCCTTACTGTACAGGCCTGTGGAAAAAGGGAGGCTTGTCTCCTTAAGAGACAGATCTATGTTGCTTGGACTTTGCTTGCAAGTCTTGCCACAAATGACCACCCAAATCGCCAGTTCAAGCTTACCCTAAAAATCACCACAACAAATCGTAACGGTATATATTCCATCCATCAAAGCCTTCCTGATTCAACCTAATTCGACCACGCAAACAATCCGAGAAGAAGACCATGCTTGAACCTTTTGAGCGGAAGCCGTCGTGCTCCTGAAGCAGCTCCTCAATCCGTTGAGCCTCCTGAAGCAGCTGCACGCGTCCGTCCAGGTGGACCGAGAAAAATTAAGAAAAGGAAAGCATTCCCAAAACCAAAAACAAGAACATGTATCATTGTATGGCATTATATGGCATTTATCATATATCCTTGTGTTTGCAAGTGAACAAGAACAAAGCCTTTATGACTTCCTGTGGCTGAGACTGGAGTGACAGTCGGTGCTTGCATGTCTTTGGTTGATGTTTGTAGTACGGGCGTTTGAACTTGTTATATAACAGAGGGCTCAAATTACTGCACTGTTGAATTGCTACAGCTGATCAGTTGGTAGGTGTTGCAACAACTCGAGATGAAGCACTCGGAGCCCTTGCGCCCCTGGAAGTTACACCACCCAGTGTTCCTTGCTTGGGGAGTATACATGGGCAGATCGGCAGTTCGATACCAAAAGAGATGAATCCAATGTGCTCCAATGCTATTAGGTTGGCGACCATTGCTATTAGGTTCTTGTCGCTCTTATTGTCTCTTATTGATATTATTCCCTTCTTGTTGCTCTTAT